AGCTGGATGGAATGCATAAATCTATGCCTAACAACATACTTCCAATTCAACGGCCAAATATATGAACAAGTCAAAGGAACACCCATGGGATCGCCAATATCAGGTTTGATTGCAGAAGCAGTGATGCAAAGACTCGAAAACGTAATTCTACCAAAGATCAAACCCAAGATTTGGATACGCTACGTCGACGACACATTTGTAATAATCAAAAGAAACGAATTAGATAAAACTCACAACTTAATAAACAACGTCTTCAACGACATCAAATTCACAAGAGAAGAGGAATCCGAGAACAAAATACCATTTTTGGACGTCTTAGTCAGGCGAACAACTACAGGAGAATTAGAAACTCAAGTTTATAGGAAATCAACTCACACAGACCAAATACTGAATTACAACAGCAACAACCCAATAACACACAAAAGGAATTGCATACAAACACTATTCAAGAGAGCAAGGACTCACTGCAGCACTCCCACCTTAAGGAAAATTGAAGAAAAGTATCTCATGGACGTCTTCCAAAAGAATGGATATCCACGGAATTTCATCAAGAGACATATACCCCCAAGCCAACCTACCAAACCAAAAGCCACCAAGGAAAGCACAAAGAAAATCGCCTTACCATATATAAAGGATATCTCAGAAATCACTACAAGACTCTTCAAACCTTTAGGAATTGACGTCGTACACAAACCAACAAAGTCGCTGCACTCAATTCTATGTCAACCAAAAGACTCAACAGCGAAAGAAGACAAAACCAACATCATCTACAAAATAAACTGTAACAACTGCGAAAAACACTACATTGGCCAAAGTGGACGTCCCCTTCGTCTTCGTATCCACGAACATAAGCTAGCCGTCAAAAGACATGATATCCACTCCCTCATTTCACTACACACAGACAACTACGGACATCAATTCGACTGGGACAACGTTCAAATATTAGACAAAGGAAATAACAAGAATGCTAGAGAATTTTTAGAAGCTTGGCATTCCAGTGAATCATCAATCAATAGACACATCGAGATAGACAAAATTTATCAACCAATAAGAAAGAAACTTCACACACAAAGGGTCAAAGTTCAAGTCAAAGAAACAACCAGTTCCAATACAAGTAACCTAGAAGGTGTGAAAACACACACAAACAACCAATCACGTCCAAGGTCACCAGGAGAGATGATTAATAAACTCGTGGAGAAATCTAAAAGCTCACTTCAAATTGAAGTATGCGCTGAAGATGTCACCCAGTAAGGTGATGAAAGCTTCGCAAACTAACCATCCAGCTCAGAGAACAAAACCACATCAAAATCATCCACCTGAGCTACAAATCTTCTCTATCATATTCCAGAGGGTTGGGAATATTCTAAATAAGATAGGAACAAACATGAAGATTACTATGAATTTATTTAAGTCGGAGTTTAAGCTGATTGGTTAGAGCTGTCAGCTTTCCCGGTAGATGCACTCTGCTTTGTGCGTCGGTGGCATAATGGTAGAATACTCACCAACCACGCATGTGGTCTGGAATTCAATCCGCGGCAAACGCATTCCTTTACCTCGTTAAACCAGTAATAAGACTGGTAAAGAGGGAAGGCTGGACATGAGGCTAGCAACACTATTTCGTAAAAATAAACACCACTGCCACTGGAACCTCAAGCCTTTAGCTTTAATCCCTATGTTCCACTGGGAACGTAAAGGAATTTTAAGAAAAATCAACTGTCAAGGCCTGTCTAGTGATCTTAGATATAGGCAGCTGGCTAGCATTACTTCTCATGCCTCACAACACTCATGGATGAAGATACAATAAATGTTATGAGTATGTATTGAAATCTTCTTGCGGAGATACTTTTTATTAATAGTTAGATTGTTTCTGTTTATGAAATTGTTATGACTATTGATAATAATACTGAGGCTTAGGTTCAATATTCGAATACGACAAGCAGCTCTACTAAAGACCGGATACAAATGTACTTCCTCAATATCTCCTGCTGACCATAACCATAGTAAAATTAGAACACAAGACTGGTCTGTGTTGGGGAGAACACCATTTTTATTGGACAAATAATGCATCAGTATATATTTTTGTGCATTACCAATAAATAATTTGGTTGGTTGTTTAAGGTGGAGCGTTGGTATAAGTATAAAACTTGAGCACTGTGGTAGAGTATAACTCGATTATGGATAAGATTTTATTTTGATAAATTATACAGTGTTATATATATATAAATGAAGTAAAAAGTTGTGTGAGTGACTTGATATGATTATGAGCAATAATTTATGTTCAAAACGTCATCAGTTAATATTACTGTACAACACTGTGTGACTTATCAAATTAAAATCTTATCTAAGGTTGTACAATCACATTATTAAAAAGCCTAACAGTTTAAACTGTCCAGCCACTTCATGTTGTTTTTATTTTTTACTAGTACTGCCACCATAAATTTATTTTTTGAACTCCTATCAGATTGACTTTGAGTTGTTATTCCCCTTTCGGTTTCATATACTTCTATTCTATACTGTCTGTTTTATTCCCATTATTTTTCTTTTCTTTTGAATTTTTTAATACATTTGTGTTACATAATTCTTATGTAGTAATTATTTGCTTTGTTGAACATACTATTTCATTATTTCTTTTCTTTACGAATATGCTTTCTTCAAGAAATACAATTTCATCATATTTGATGTACATATAAATACTGAATTCTGTAAAACAAACTTTCTTTTGTCTTTTAAGCTGTTCTCAATATTTTTTAATATTCGGCACTTACACTAAATTAATTCTCTATAAAAGGTTGAATTTAATGTGTATCCTGTTTTACAAAAGCTGCTCTCAACTCACTGTAAAAACTTCTTAAATTTTGAAAAGATTTCAACCTTATTTTCTTATCAAGTAAACAGAACTTTTTGACATTTTGATCGGCATGCCAACATCATTTATCAAGTATATCGATTAGTATCTATGTGATTCTTTGAATGTAAATTACTGGTTTTTTGTCACTAGCATTAACTATCATACGAATGAAATGGAGGGTTATTTCGCTAATTGAATACCACTTTCAATGAAAGCGAGGTTATGTGCATAAGTCCTTGTCTAGTTGATGATGCCTAGCAGTGGAATAGAATAAGTACACCTCGTCTTATTTAGGACTCGTCACCTGGATGTACTTGCATTCACATCATGATCCTTGAGTGCTGGTTTACTGGAATTGAATTGACAAACTGATACTAGTTAGAAAACCATTGAAAGCCAGGGAATACTGAAGAGATGTTTCATTTTAGTTTAAATATCTGCAGTAGTATCAAGAAAACAACCTCAATGGGAGCTGAACCCAAGGTTTCCAGGTTACTAGGTCAGTTTTCTGACCACCGGGACAGAATGCAATTACTGGGCCATATCCTGTAATTCCTGTCAGTTCACGATGTTTAGCTCCCAGACAATATCATCGATGATTATTTTACCATACCCGACTCGGTGAAACCCCCTCGCTCGACGTCTTAGTGGAACTCCAGACAACTCCATCTAACTGATATCACCTCAGTGTCTCATTTGAGACTAACCAAATCCCCATAAACCTAAACTTAAAATTAATCTAATTCTCAATATTGACCTAATAAAGGATGAAGCTGTCTAGAGTCCAGGTGAGATGTCATAACCAATGGGTTCAACCAAGTTGGGTGTGCAAAAAAATACTCGCTGATGACATTAATTGGCGGCGATGATATACATGGCGAATTGACAAAGGTTAGAATCCGTGGCCCGATGACTAGATTCCGTTCCAGCTGCCGAACAGTCAACGGGATTGCCTTGTGACCTGAAGGTCTTGTATCCTGTTTCTAGAGAGTTCGTGGATTCGTACTGATAAAGAATGTCAGACTGTACAGTACATTTTGGTTTTCGATGGTTTACTAACTGGTGTCATTTCATGATCTAACTACTAATCATCTATCTGATATTCTTACATTTTTATAATTTTAGGTATGTATGAAAGTGGGTGGTGCTGGCTATACTCAGAAAAAACTCCACAAACTAATACTTATCTAAAATCTTAAATTTCATCGCAATACCATAATCATATTCCTCTATCTACCCTTTTTCTCTTCCTGCTATAAGTCTTATCCATCTAAGATTACCTATTTCGTCTTTTTCTTTGCGTGTTGTGCATGATAAAAAAAAAGCCTGAAATAATTCACTCCTGTGATTTCTATAATTTTATTATATCAACCCTGTCAGCATGCATTCCAATCTTCGAAAACAAAATAAGCCATGGAAAGTTATCTTTCTGAAGATATTTTATTTTCTAATTTATTTTCTATGCAATATAGACGGGGACGACCTAATTTTGGTATGGATTGATGAGGTAAAAATATATCACACGACAAATTATCCAGTGACTTCTTTTTCAACATACCTAATCTATTGCACAGTTTCTGGTTGACTGAAACTCATCGTGATGTTCGACAGTGTTGACACAAAGAGACTCACAAACGTTATGTGTGATGTCATCGAGATATTAAGATTTAGTGGTTAGACATTAATGGTGTGATGGCTTAATGATTATTCTCAGTGACGCACATGTATTCAATCTTTGTCGTCTTCACGATTCTAAAACTCACCCAGTAAACTTCATCCAAGTAACTTTCCTCCAGTACATTTTTACTCAAAGTAGTTTTATTACATTTCTCTTCTCTATCTTAATGTGTGCTTTATGAAGTGTAGCACTTTGAACTGATGCGCTTTTGTGCGACGTCTTACGTTAATAGTACATTTTATTTTAGATGTTGTAAAGTACTATATAGTTAGCTTATACTATAGGAATCACTATCGATCGTATTAGAGATAATGAACTCATTTTATCTCCCTTTCCAAACATTTAATCTCTTTATATTATACATCTGTTTCCTTTAATTCCTGTCATCAAATAACTTTCTAACTAGCTTTATCTCTAACTATGCTTCACAACTGTATGAACTTTTAACATATTTTTCTTCGAATTAACTTTTAGAATGGTTTCACTCCTCTGTATATGGCTGCTCAAGAGAATCATTTGGAAGTAGTACGTCTTCTACTGGCTAATGGTGCTAATCCTGGTCTAACAACTGATGATGGTTTCACTCCACTGGCTGTAGCCCTGCAACAAGGCCATGATCGTGTTGTAGCACTTCTGTTGGAAAGTGACTCTCGTGGAAAAATATGTTTGCCAGCTTTGCATATCGCATCAAAGAAAGATGATATTAAAGCAGCTAATTTATTATTGAATAGTGATGTGAATGTAGACCATCAGTCAGCTGTAAGTCTTTTTTTGTACACATGTAATACGTCACCACTTTGGTCACTTCTATTATTATCCTACTGATTATGGATATAAGTAGCTGGTTATCACTTATACTGTTGAAAATTTGTATAGCTTCATCATACTAGAATATGTAGCGTAAAGTTGTCTACCACCTAATCATGTTATCATCAGACGTTGCGAGTGCAATCTATCGGTGGAAAAGTGTCTTCTTAGGTCATTCTAAGATTCCGTACCGACAATGCGGTAGGCTATCTAATGTGAGCTAAATGATAAGAGACGAATTTGGTGCCTAAAAACTGGCATGAATGAGATCGTGTAAACAGGACATGAGAACTTATGGACAGTCTTTGAGCCAGCTAGATAAAAAATCAGGGGACAGGATGAAATGACGATGTGCTGCTAAAGCCCTATATTACAAATAAAGCATAATTATATTTCAATGGTTTGCACACAATGATAAGTTTCGTTCTTGGTAATATTTCGAGCAAAATTACTGTGGAACAGAACAATTCCAACAGTGGTGTGAACACGGGCAGTAATTTTGCTCGAAATATTACCAAGAACGTAACTTACCATTGTGTGTAAACTAATGAAATATACTTATACTTTTTTTGATCTATTCCACAATGCTCAAACGTTTTACTGACATTAACCCTATACTACACTTGGAACTTGAGGGATGAATAATAATATATTTTCTGAAAAAATTAGCAATGTGTACGATATTCAAACGTGAAATTATGGAGTAACAAAGAAATTATGTGAAGATAACACTTCTGCCAATTATGAGTTGTCTGTTATTGCTTAAAGCATGAGCAATTTACGTCTGCATTGAAACTCTAGTCAACTCTAATGTCAACAACATTATCATTTAAAATTGATCCACATCTATGAGTAGAATACCTGCATTGACAAAATTAACATTTTTTGAAGAGTACAAGTGATTGCAAGATACTGAATCCAACTCAAATTATCTCTACAGAATATAAATTTAAAGTGGTGAAATTAATTTCTAATATAAAATATACAAGTCTGTCACATTCGTAAATATAAAATTACACGAAACCTGTCTCACTTTCACCGAATTTTAGTTATTTTCCTGTTTATGGCTCAAAACATGTAATCATCCGATTTCTAATAATTTCAGTATTTATAGTGATATTTTAATATTCATATATATTGCGATAATCCTTTCGCTCAAAGTATCATCATGTTGTGGTTACACCAAAAGGATATTTAATTTATATATATATATATATATATATATTGTGCCTTTATATTCTGCTGACTTTACAAATAATTCATTAGTAGGTATTGTCAATACCCTAAAACAGTAGTTCAAACATAAATGTTTTTGATGTCCAGCATAACATCTTGAGTAAAATGATGCATTCTCTAATTCATGAAGGTAATTTCTGTTATTTTTAAAATAAGTTAAAACTTTCAAGACCTCGTTTGTTGACATTCTGTCCAATTGCCTAACCTGCTATGCACTTTCTTAGTACTTAGTTTTGATAATGATTTGGAAGTTCAGTTTATCAAGTGGTTAAATAGTATTATGTTCTGCCTAAAGCCTGATGGTCTTGTGGTAGATAAACCCCACTCCCACCTTCAAGGATGTGGGTGTCCATTCTTGAAGAGTCTTACAGATCAAGAAGAATGCTAACTGGCACCCTTTGCTATTCATAATATACCTAGTATGTTTATATTCCTCACGGAATCTACCTTGATGAAATTCCTATTCATCAAGTCGAAATCACTGGGAATGTAAGTGAAATAAGAGTCTATAAGTGTCTTGTTCATATTTGTTATGAATGCCTCAGGACAATTTCAGCATAAAGTATGACTAAATAGGAATTTCTGGGATCTAAATGATTATGTTCGAAGAGCTGTGGCTTATACAGCAAAATGTTTAGGGTAATCTTGTTTTGATGCTGTAAACATACTTGGATTATGTTCAATAAATTTCAATAATAAAATGAATATAAACTTATTATGATCGTAAATAGCCTTCTGTGTATATAAATACGCCTACCATTGTTAATTCTGTTTACAGAGTGGGTTCACTCCACTTCATATAGCTGCGCATTATGGTAATGTGAATATGACTGAACTGCTTATATCACGTGGTGCAAATATTAATTTTCAAGCCAAGGTGAGTAAATTATCATACAGCGCATAACGAATTTGATGGGTATGTTTTATGATTACAAAAAAATATTTCTAGTGTTATTAGTTTGTTTTAGATAACAAGTGGAATCTGTGTTTCATTGGTTCAGTTGGTTAAAATAATCGCCAACTACACACATGGTCCCGGGATTCGACTCACTGTCGACGCCCTTCTAAACCTCACATAGTTTATTAGATGGTTATAAGCCTGGAGAATACGAGAAGGCTGAGAGTGAAGCTAGCAGCCTCACTGAGTAGAAACCACAGCACCAAACTTCTGAAACCTCCAAGCTGGAAGCTCTATTTTTCACTCGAAAATCAAATAATGGAAAGAAAGTAGAATGTAAGAGGAAATCAGTTTTACAATCTCTATTTGAAACTTCTTATTTGATTATACCTTCTTTTCTAATGGTTGCGAAGCTCTCTTTTACTGAAGCTTATTGAAGCTAATGGTCATTGCCTATTGTGACACAACAGATAAGTCACACTTTGATTGCAGTATGTACAATCTTCATTCATGTCACATCTTAAGATGGGACACATTAGATTAATAACCTAACGGTTTTTAATTTTGCTTTGATCGCTAGCAAGAACATCGTTATCAGCTTAGCAGCATATTTTACTCATAAGTCTGAAGTAAAGGCCTATTCTTTAGTAATAATTTATGACAAAAATGAGTAACATTACTTACAGATAAATCGTATGGGGTAGCCATAGTACGAAACGCACCAATCAGTTACTGCGAGAAACAGTATATTTATTAAAGAATGGCGAATAAATAATTTTTTAGTCAAAAATATCCATGATTATCGATGTGTATTAGTGTTGTTCACTGACTGAAACACTAGGGATTACATTTTTATTCAGCACTTTATTTTGATTTAGAACAAAGTTGCAACTATTTTTATGCACAGTTATTTCAGCTGCATTAAGTGAAAGCTAATTTTACAATTTATGACTTCATGGAAAGCCTCCGATATTTTCTGCTAAAGATGGACTATTATTTGTTTTCAGGGGTTATACTGGGGAGCCGTGACCGGTAGGGTGCAGCAGGTAGGAGGCGAAGCAGTAACCCATTGAAGAAGACATTGCAAAGTGGTCACGCTATGTCATGAATCGGCAGAAGTTAGAATTCATGGGCCGTTGGATCGGGTCCCAGTGATTTATTAGTCTACGAGCTCGCCTTGTAACCAGAAGGTCCTAGATCTGAGCCCCGGTGGGTACGTACTCATGAAGGGTTCCAAACTAGTAGGACAAAACAGCTGTCCAGTACTCCCAGGTTTTCCAATGGTTCTCTAACTGATGCCAGCTCATGGTGAAATCCTCCAAACAAACAAGTTTATGTCCATGTTGCCCTAACCAATATACATAAGCAAATCTATCATTTTTTTACTTGTATTGTGTTAGGTTATACGCAGCTTGTACTTACCTGTCATCATCATAAATACTCTGTAACAGTAGAATTAGAAGTAGGTTAAGAGAAATTTCAGGTTGATGCGGATCCATGAAATCACCAATTGTTTCTTTCAGCTATACATTATGATGTAATTTGCATTACTACAGAATGCTTTTCTACTGGAACTTATAGTTATAGACTACAGGTAACGTGGTTCTAGATTAGTGATTGATATGCAGATCCATTCACACCCTATCCTTGCCTTGATTGTACTTTCACAATTTTCTTCTTCTTTTTCTCTTACTGCTCTCTCGAATTTATGGTTTATTATTTATTCTTTGGTTCTTTCTACATTATACCATGTGGCAGCTTGGACCGCAACCTCTATAGTGCATATCGTCTTGTTTATTATGCACTAAATAGTGAGATACAGCTATTTCATTTGTACTTAGTGATGCTGCTTGACCGTTTGCTATTTCATTAGGTGAATTTCTACCACCTTGATAAATGAGTGTATACAATCTTGATCAGTACATGTAAAGCCTAAAATCCTAACAGCTTCACAGTTTCATCATTAACCGGGACTTTTGCCAACGAATTAATGCTGGATAGTATCAACAATATCCAGAAGGACACTAATCTTTTTTGCTTAATAATGCAAAAATATATTTTATTTTCGCATATAACAAATTTCACCGACAAACAAACTTAGTTTTTCACATGAGAGTTAGACCGTGTTCAAATATGGGAGAAGATCTTCAGTGGAAATATTCGTATATTTTAATGCATTTTTTATTCCCGTGAAAAATGAGACACCACATGAAATTGTAAAGTTCTGTTTAATTACTGTCCTTTGACCTTTTGAAATATAATATTAAAATTATGAGCTATCAAGTGTTGGTTCGTAGGGATGAAACAGTTGTCCGGTGCTCTTAGTTGTTGTGATTAAGTTTATTCTGAAGAAATATTATTATTCCTTCGTTTATTAGAATAATAACTATGACGTATATTTATGAGCACTAAAAGACTATGTTTGGCGAATGCGATACCCTTCACGTAGTTTCTGTTTCGCCCAAAGTTTGATCAGAAATTGCTAACCTAGAATAAGTTCTTTTTCAACCTCCACCCATCCTTATCACTGACATATTGTGATGAAAAGGTATCTGTTCAAAACCTTAGGCTAATTCACCAGCACTTCTAAGTAGTTGAAATAAACCTTCAGAGATTTTTTCGTTGATAATTATTGTCTATGAATGTCAAAATAGGAAAATGTTCACAGTTGATATAATGTTGAATTATTTTAATACTTGATAGAGCTAATTATTTATTTTCATCATATTTTAGTGCTTAATAGTGAAATTTTAGACATCATTTTCGTCATTTTCGGGATGTACCTGTTTACTAGTAAGTTATAGCATTCTCACTGAGACTTGAACTCAGTGTTCATCGTTTTAAGTGACATAGTTATGTAGTCGCCTAGTCGGCCATAATAGCCAACCCTTTTTTGAAGCATGTCATTTTTTATTGTCAACACTAGAAATGAACTTGCGTTGTTTTGTTGAAACGAAGCTTCGTGTTCATTTTGTGTTTTAACTGGATGCTGTTCATTAATTGTGCAGCTTGGGACGGTTACATAGTTCTATTTTGGCAGCGTTATCCGATCCGAAGTTAGTAGTATTGTAACGGGAGTAAACAAGATACTTGGCAAGAGAATGCTGATTAGAAATATGACGTACGCATAGGGAACTTATGAATACTCCATATTAAAATCGTCACTTGTGCAGATCTTGGGTGTTGTGCTACTTCTGTCTTTCTTATTGTGTTTCTTCGTCTTCTTTTCGTGTCTTCTATGTTTTCCCGCAATACTCGTTCATTTTCTTTTTTTTTGACTTCAAATCTATCTCTCCGCTACTTGATATTTTTCAGTTGATGAACGTCTCTTTATGTATTACTGACAAAACTTGTCAGTTGCGCGCTCCACGAAATCAAGTTAACACTCAAGACAATAGTTGAGGCCTTATGTAAATAAAGATTGATCAATTCAACAAAATCCAAGACACAAAACTAACGGTGTAAAGGAATAAGATCTTGGTTTTTTCTTTCTTAAAACGTTCTATTAACTGTCACATCACATTATTTTCCTCGAGAATTTTCTTCCAATGAAACACACGTAAAAATCGTGCTTTGTAAAAATATCCTCTAACATACTTGTTAAATGTAATCTGAATATTATAACTACAGTTAATTTTGCTAGCTCTTTTCATTTGTCTGCTTTTGTTTTAGAATAATATTACTCCATTACATGTAGCATCAAAATGGGGTAATCAAGGTGTGGCTGAACGTCTGATCACAGCCGGTGCAGAGCTTGATTGTCGTACACGTGATGGATTGACACCTTTACACTGTGCTGCTAGGTCGGGACATGATACTGTTGTTCAATTACTGCTAAGTGCTGGAGCTAATTTATCTGCAAAAACAAGGGTATGATAAAGTTTATATTTCTCTTGTTTGTCTCTAGTTTTTCGATTTTTCTATTCACCATCAATTTGTGAATGAAAACGAATGGACCACAAGTCTTCTGGATATGGCTCAAGTTTGTTTACAGTATCATATATATTCATTCTTTTCTGCAATCTTCCGAATTCTGGAAATCTTCACCAGACTTCCTTCATTTCTTCTCTCCGTCGCACTTATGTTTGTTTATCGTAGTTACCTTCTGTTTCTAATTCCTTCTTTCGCGTGCGTTTTGGAAACGCGAAAACTTGTGATAAAGCCTCTTTGTGCAAAGCACTAAGTTCTTCCGTATGCTAGTCAGTAAATTGCTAGGCTCGTGATTCTCTCCGTTTGAGAGTCGTTAGCTGTATAAAATAAATTCCAGTGGATAATGATGTTTTCACTGAGATTCAAACTCACCACCCATCCTTTCAGAAGATAAAGTGTTATCTACTAGGCTACTGGGCCAAGAGATCTGCCCCTTGAAAAATGGCTGTCATCTTTATTTGTCGGGACACATACTGATCGTTTCAGTCTTGTATAAAAATGATTGGAAATGTGCCAATTTCGGAAAATTTATTAGTTTACCCTCTGTCTTTCTCTGAGAATCAGAATTCGTCTTTGGTGAATGACAGATGTATGTGGAAAAGTCGCAATTCGAACAGTATTTTGTAAGTAACGTGTTTGAAGTCGATAGAGAGAAAGTCATTTTCGACCCAAATTGTGCGATTCTTCACTATCAGCAACAAAGGGTACCCATAACACTGAATAAACTCAGGGTTTGACGATCGGACATCCATAGGTCTGTATCACTAGCCTTTTCATATGACGAATGAAAACCTATTTGTCTGGATACTGAAGCCAAATTTGTTACCAGACAGTCTTCAATCCACTATTTAGTAAAAGAATGAAATCAGGGCACGGAAGTACTGCGTACTTCAGCTTCTTTTTCACTGTGAACATCATACTGATAGATTTCGGTCGACACACTAAGGATTAGATAACTACATCGATTACAACCCGATAGGCAATTCATTTGCATTTTTCGCCTCTCTTAGCAACTGAAGTCATCTGAATGTTACTATCTTATTGTCAAAAGTTTCTTCTTAAACAAATTTTTCAAATCACTTTTGTACCTTAAACAACGAGATTATGAACACTTTTAGTCTTTCAAAAATAAAAACAATTTGAATTTCACATCAAATTGGTCTTAAGATTATCTAATTTTCAGATCATTTCATTCCTCATTAGAATTTAGCTATCAACACCATTGATCAGCATATATATATATATATATATATATATCGTTCGACTAGTATATCTTGCACGAGAATTTACGCAATGTTGTGGTGGTGTAAGACGCTAACAATCTGTAAGCGAATAAGCCCTATATCTAGTGCCAAACCATAACAAAACTGTTAACGTTTTTCCTTCTCAATCTTGTGACAACATCAACATTTAAAAATTCCATCTGTGTATCAGTATTTCAGTGCATAAATCTGTGATGATGGAATGTTCATCAGGTTAGTTACACTCACTGCTCATAGGAATATGGTATCCTTATAAACAATATTCTACATTCTACTCAAGGAATCTTAACCAACCATTTGTCTGTATATTTATGTGGTATCTACCAACATGTCACCACATTCTCTGTGAACGCATTCTTATCAAAAACACAAATCAAAACATCTGCATCGTGCGAAGAAACCTATGACTGATTTCCACATCCACTTTTTTATTCGACATATATACATACGGCAATTATAAAATGCCTAGTAAATGGTTGTTTAGTGTAGTTATTCATGTAAAACATGTGCTTGTTGCTACCGCAGGTCAAAACATATCCATTTAAAATTAATTAGTTCTCAAGTGTTAGTCTGTAGGAATATGATTAGTTTGACGTTTGATTACGGATTAACGTAAGTCAGAGGAGCTACAAAAACCAAGGAGTACTGAACAGCTGTTTTCCACTTCGTTGTATGCTCTGAACTGGTTGATTCAACAGAGAAGATTTTGTTGTCCTTCCAGACAACATCTCCAGCTCAGGTTTCAGTATGAAATGAACTTATTTAAATTCTCCATGAATTATATAATTTAAAACAAGCAACAAAAGTCAATGAATTCATTAAATTTCTGTAGGACTCTTCATCTGGATACTCTAAATACAATTATATATATATATATATATATATATAATTACATTGGGAAATATGAGACAGAAGATTTCAAGAATTTCGAACTAAATAATATTGATAATAATAGTAATGCTAATAATAGTAACAACAACGAGAATAATAATAATCAACAATAATAATGTTAAAACAAGTTAAGATAATGCTAATGAAAAAAGTAGTTTATAAAAAGAGGTAGAATAAAATATTAATAATAATAACAGGTAATAAATAAAACATATCACCATGGTAGATTAAAAGTGACTACCATTTTCTTTTGTACATAAAAACCTGGTTTGTAAACTCTAATCACACAAGCCCCCGCAGTTGTTAGTACCTTCTTGTTTGTTTGCTTGCTCGCTGACAACAGCGAATGACTTGACAGAGTCAAAATCATGTCCGTAGTCCGCGAGATGCTTTGCTAATGAACTTTTGGGCACTTTCACTTCAGCTGTTTTCCACCACCTTGGCAAATACTCTGTTCTGTGAGTAGACAGTGACCTTTCTATACGACATGTGTATTTGCTTCTATAAACACACTGAAACTGATATACGTAGTTTGAAGTGTTGATGATTGACGAACTTATTATGCCACAAAACTCGTCTTCTCAGCACCACCAAGCCTGTGCTTTAACAATCTGAGAAAACCCAATTGGTGATACTCGACACTTCAAACTGTGTATATCAGTTTGAGTGTGTTTGTGCTAGAATACATATATATATATATATATATATATATATATATATATATATATATATATATATATATATATAATTGTATTTAGAGTATCCAGATGAAGAGTCCTACAGAAATTTAATGAATTCATTGACTTTTGTTGCTTGTTTTAAATTATATAATTCATGGAGAATTTAAATAAGTTCATTTCATACTGAAACCTGAGCTGGAGATGTTGTCTGGAAGGACAACAAAATCTTCTCTGTTGAATCAACTAGTTCGAAGAACATAACCAAATCAAAGTAACCCGTCTGGACAGCTTTTTGTCATGGTTTAGAACTTCACTGCAGTACGCATCCACCAACCCACGTATTGAACCTAAGACCTTCAGGTTACGTGGGGCCATTGGTGAGTACTGATAAAGAGTACCAAACTAGGACGAAATAGCTATATAGCAGTCCCTCGTTTCATTACTTTTTAGTTCACTGAATCGTTGCCTAAAACCTACTCCCTGTGTCTGTCACACTTACTTCGTTATAGGCTTTTTACACTTAGTCGTATTTATTGGGAATTTATAATAACAACCTGTGGTGAAGGTCATATATTTTATGGCAACACCAACTGTTTTCAGGTCAATCACTAAATCATTCTAAGAAGTCACGAGGTCAAGACAGCTGTTATGTAATGAAAGTTGGTCGTATCGTAATATTCTCCATCTAACTTGGTTGTTGGTTGCATATATTGTCATATATTTAAAAAAAATAGTCCTTGTACCACTGCCTACAATTTTAGGTCAAATTCTCGAGTACCTATTCCCGGCTTGCAGTGTTATACTTCACCTATGGATGAAAATCCATATACTGAAAGAATTATGTGAAGTATAATATTTGCAGGCAAAGGTGGATTAAACACAATAATCTTTGGTACCTGTCAGATTATAAACTATATAGAAATTCCTAGACGATTAGAATGTTTTATGTGCAGTAACTAAGTGAGTAAAAGCTATTTTAATGTGTCTATATTGCTTATCTTAATACCATAGATTCCTAAGTCTACAGCAAAACCGATTGCTTCACTTTCATGAGTTGTATCAGTCTTCATAAACTGATTAATGAATAAATGTCAGCATAAATACAAAAGGCCTGCTACATTTCACCGTTTCATGTTGTGTTCAGAATCTGAAACATGACAATTCACCTGTCCGATGGGTACTGTGCTTCACAGTACTCCGGTGTATCCCCATTCGCATCTGCCAGGAATAACCACTAAAGGTGCGTTTTCTTATTAAAGGTATCTTCGTCCCATTTACGAAGCGAAACAGAATTAGAAAGTGAGTAGTTGAAAAGTTAGACTAGAAATTTTGAGAAACAGTAGGAAATAAGTCGATGACTTTAGTCTTCAGTGGTTGATACAATTCCTATATGTATCATACATTTCGTGATATAGCGTTCCTCAATGAACAATGTTAGCTTTAGTGGGGTCAAATCAAAGGAATTTACGGGCGGTCAGTTTAAAACATATAGCCAAGTCAAGTTAGCCTGAAATATTTAGAGAAATGCAGGTTATTTAACTGGTGCACCTAAAAACTTTATGAACCAGTGACTGGAAACCCTCTATGACATCTTATGAAAATTACCACAATGATGCAGATGAATTTACTCTTCAGTGTTTCTGAATACTTGAATATTTCCACTGATCTGGTTTAGTTTTTCGCTTTCCTCTTGCAACTGCGTTTGTGCTTTGTAGTTTCATTCTGTTTCCATTTTTTAAAAGTTTTATCAGCTGTATTAGAGAATTGTAATGACCTTAAACGATATACTTCTGCGTAAGATTCCCCACTGATTCGTCTTTCTGAAAACCACACAAAGACTTCATATCATCTGGGATATGTCTGATTTGTCTCTGTGAGTTGAGTCATTCTGTATATATCGCCAGTGACCCTGGTCCCGATGAGCACAACGTTCGTCCTGTGTTTGGAGCACTTCTGTATGGCTAACAGGCACTTCTGACTGATATGGGTGGTTAACAACTACATATACCGTTACGCTTATATTTTCATTTACGCCTTAATTATCCCTACGGAAGCATTAAATTATGCCCATGCATCAATCACCACTTTATTGACTGGCAGTATATTAATTTTGGATACCTTATTTTTTCTTCATACACTATTACTGTGCATAGTCCAATATGAAAGAAGTAGCCTTATATGTACCATGTTCAAAATAGTATGTACTATTACATTTTTTTGAATATCAGGCAGAAAAGTTATCTAAGAAATGTTTTGAGGTTGAAAGATAGATTGTAAAAGTGGTTATCGAATGTCCACATACAAATTAACACCATAAAACATATTTATTCTACATGTCTTTATTCGGTACGAAATTGCAGAATAATCTTATCTATCATGCGCTGATAATTATAGTGACAAACAGGAATAACTAACAAACGTACTGATGTAAAATGAAGTATACATTTTGACATCTTTCATGCGTAATATTGCGTATGTATGGATGTATGCTATCTAGTTTATTTCTTTAATTTAGTCATTCTTAATTGCATAGGTAAAAGAGGAATTTTCTTCACGTTGATTGCTTTATTATTGTTATTATTACTATTCCTCGGAGGGTTTCCAAGTGGAACGTAAATCTTCAGGGGTGCATTACCGCTTTACTCTCTATTCTGCATTCATTTTTATCCTGCTCCGCGATTAGCCATAATCTTCCATTTTCTCTTCACACTATATCCTCCATGCCATCCTCAGACCCAGCTTGCGGTATCCCATTTCGGTTCCACTCGAGTGCTTACTGTGTGATGTCACTAGGAGAGGTTAACTCCTCTACTAGTTTCTTCATTTTATCAAGTAATACTGAGCGTTAAGTCAGTGACTAGGGCGGTCAATTATAATGCATTAGGTCCCATCAGTTTAAATCTATTTCACCATATCTATTTCATTTAAATAGATAATAAGTACCATAAGATAATTTTTATGTTTACTTCAGCGTAAGTTTAGCACTAATCTTGTAAAGCAAGGCACAGAAGCCAAGGTATATTTTCAAGTCATCAAACCGCTATATATATATAGTGTTCTGCTGCCAATGTAGTATTGAAATGTAGGAATGGTATTCAGACGTTAACACTAACAAATACAATGATTCTTACTGTGAGAATAATATCACGTTGGAATCCACTGTCTATATCCCATCAACACAATATTACTGCACAAACCTTTTTTAAATATGAAGAGTCTATTGCCAGATAAACACATAAAAATAAGCTTAAATTTGAAATGAGAAGTGACTCAACTGTCACAGAACAAAATTATTCAGTTATTTTTAGCGTTGTTGCGTGATCTGAACTGCACATTTCAACTGTTGCGCTTTTAAGTCTGTTCATGGATTGATGTAGCATGAGAACAGTCGAGAACAAGGAAGTATTCGACAGCTGTTTCGTCTCACTGTGAGACTCTTCGACGGTACTCATCCATCACTCACAAAAGATTAAACCTCGTACCTTCTGATTACAAGGTGAGCTCTTCAACCCTTCAGCTACTGGGATGCAGTCGAATCACCGGGGCATGAATTCTAACTTCTATCATTTCATGATTTTTATCTCGACAGCCGGCCAATATCAGCGACGAGTATTTGTCCTCACGCCCGACCTAGTAGACACCACTTTTCACTACTTCTCACCAGAACTCGTCTTGTAGTCAGTCACTTGTGGGCTTCAGATTGATTTTTGGGTGTTAGTTTGCGGGCCTTTGATTGGTTTGAAGTTTGATCAGAGATTGATATCAGTTAGAGAATCATCGACAACCGGGGATTTGTTAGTTTGTAGAGACACTAAATATTAAACAGGGGCGTATCGCTCCAAATTGCGGAAACTTTCAAAAACAGTACAAAGAACTTAGAAGAGTACTATAACTCATAAAAGTCATTATAAGAAGCGCGAGAATAAGTAAATGAGGTTAGCTAAAATACTCAATTATTCGAAAATGCTGAAGGATGAATTTATCTCTATATTATGAGGACTTTTGCAACAAGTCATTAAAGGCTTCCACGCATTAATTTCTAGCATCTTGACGATGCAAGTCAAACAACCAGCACCTTCCTACATCATTCAGGCTGATACTTAGTTATGGATTAGTGCAGTTTTTCAGTCAAATCACTCTTCAAGTTTTCCAGTCTAGACCAACTTGAACTAACATGACCAGCTATTGTCACAAACTTACAAAATTAAGGTATCAGTGTCCTGGGTAGCTATATACTCAGTGGCTGTATGATCGACGGGCTCACCTGATAACCTGAAAGAAGCTAGATATATACACTGCTGAACAGTCTCAAACTAGGATGAAATAGTTGTCTTTGACGTATGTTGGTTCTTGATGAAACTGATTACAGTTCCTACAAATCCAAAAAATGGTCTTTTAAGGATAACTGGTGATGAAATCATTAATATTAACTAATACCTTTTTTAGAGATGCCATCTATAATGATTTGTCTTTTTTCATCATTTGCATTATTTACTTTAGTAATATTCACTTTAATGACAAACACTATCATATTCACTTTTAATTACTTGTCCTACTAACTGAATTTTAATACTACACACACGAGCACACACAGCTTTTCAACTTTTTTAAGGTTCCCTGCATATTTGTGTAAATGATTGGAAGTGGTAAAATATGTTATGCCTATTTTCATATCATTTCATTTCAGTTTTTTAAAAGCGTAATAGAAATAAAATATAAAACTAAAACAGTTTATTGTGTTCCTTTGTTTTATAGAGTGGTTTAAATTCACTACATATGGCAGCTCAAGGTGATCATATTGATGCAGCTCGTTTACTTTTACAACACGGTGCACAACCAGATGACCCAACTATTGATTATTTAACTGCATTACATGTGGCTGCACACTGTGGTAATGTACGTGTAGCCAAACTACTACTTGAACGTGGATGCGATGTGAATGCTAGGGCATTGGTAGGTTATTATTATTACTTCATTAAAATTATAGACAATATATTTATTTAAACCATTATGATCATTTAACCCATATGGTTTGTATTTAGAATATTTTTAAATCTATTTAATCTCATTCATTATGATATATGACTGAATTCAGTGTTTTAGGTAAATGAGGGGCGTTAAATAAATAGGTGGTACGGAAAAAATTTAATTCATAGTTTTTTTAAACTATGTTTGGTGTTAGAAGTAGATAGGTGCTTGTTTAAAATTATCATTTAGGTATGCCTAAAATCTTCAGAAAACCCAATTATCTTTCGTATCGGCTAATCTCTAACAGCTTACAAATTTTACTGTATAACAGGGTGTCATTTTGTTTACTGATCATAGTACACATTACTTCTGGATGCATCAACACAACTGCATTAGTTGTCGTGTGTTTCCTGATCCGCATAGTATTGTCCTCAGGGTGCTGTTCTGTCGCCGTTTCTCTTTTCCTTCTTCTTACATGACTTACCTCTTTCAGACGAAATCAACTTCATCAAATATGCAGATGACCTGACTGTTTCGATTCCTTCAAGTCTCAGTTAGACTGCTTCAAATTAAATAGCTTCCTGTCTGACATCAGTCAGTGGTCTAAACTAAATGGCCTCAGGCTGAATCCCTCCTTTAGGCATAAACGAAATCTACAAACACTAGTAAGTATTCACGAAGCCTGTAGCACTGAGGGGACTAAAATTGAAACTAAGTCTAATGCAAAATACCTCGGGTTAGTTCTATTTTCCGACCTTACTTGGTCATCTCATATCCTAACGATTTCCAAGAAAGTGTTTCGTCTAACCTACTGCATTAAGAAACTCAGACTAACTGGAGTCACTAAACCTCTGCTTTCACAGTTTGTCAACTCTCATATCTTATCTATTCTACTTTACTGCTCCCCGTTAGTCTTTCCTGGGTTACTGAAAAAGGACTATACCATCCTGAGAAGGATGTTGAAGGTAGTTAGTAGGACTAATGGTGTAAAACTCAGTCAGCTCGTCACTACATTAGTAGGTAAGCATCTGAATACATGCGAAAAATGGCCTAAAACCATACTGTCTGACCCCCACCGCCCCCTCTATTCCCAACTCTCTCCTTGTATCTCATCAGGTAGAACCAGAAATCAGTACAAAATAATATATGCTCGTACAACCAAGTATAGGAACTCAACGATACCATATTTGGCTCGTGTTCTAAGTGACAGAGACAATGTTAAGCGCGAGACCTATGACTTGCTTTGTTGTTAATAACTTAATTATGGCCCTTGTTATTTCCCCCTTATACTCTCTTATTTGTACTCTATAGTGAACAACCTTCTTAAACATACTTAGCTACCTAAAATTATTATCATTGGCTTACTTTTTTATTCTTTATTCTATTCCTTCTTTGTGTATCTACTGGTCCCGACTATATTATCACTATGAGTATTCCTAAATTGTCCTGTCATTAACCATCATGTAATATTAGTTTTGTGGTTGTTTTTTGTTCGGCACTATTTAACTGACAATCTTGGTTGTGAGCACCATTATCACCATCTTAAAGTTTTGTATTATACAGGATTACTCATACTACTACAACAAACACTGCATTAGTGCTGACAATAAAAAAACCTGAAATGTTTATTTTATGATTGTTTAGTGTAGTTCAATCAATTTAACTGATCATCTTGGCTATAAACATTCTTAGGAACATTTCATAACTTCTTGTATGATTATAGCTGTTACTGTTCACCACGCATACACATATCATAGCTTCCACTACCATTTTTAGTGTTTATCTTCCTTTCTAATTGGTATTTTTATTTACTTTATTTTGTTATTTTTGTGTTTCTTTTTGGTTTTTGTGTTCTTTTTTTATACATCTTTCTTTTGTAATACTCCTTTTAAATGTCCGATGAAATTAGATGCAATATTGTAGATATGTGCTGAAAATTCCACACTGTACCACAAGTACTGTTTCTGGAATAAAAGCGAAATTATTATTATTTTTGAGCTACTGAAGTTATAATTGCAAAAAGACATGATTTTCTTCAGTTTGTACACAAACAAATAACATGGGAAATTCAAAATGTTTAGTCACATATTTCCGAGCAAACGTTTGTGCCTTGTTTATAAGAGTTTCTGATTGCTTGCAGTGATTCTGACACTTAGACTGGAATAAATTACCAACACATTTATTCTAGCTTCCTCTGTTCACTATCACGGGTCGTTGGCTTGGACATCAAGGTAGGATTATTAGCCCTCACACAACTGGTGTAGCTCACTGCCAGGTGTGCCTTGAAGTGCAAATAGTTGTCGAATAACATTTTACTTTAATCTTCATACTGAAGCTTCCACATTAAGTTATGCCCATTTTGACTAGACAAGTGATATAGCACATTTTTACTCTAATTTTTATTGATGGCGCAAACTCATAAGTCGTGATCTAACAGCAGAAGTAGTAATCTTTATTTTAACTAGTCAAATGTCCACTAGATTTTTCACAGGCTTTATGAGTAAATAGCACTTAAGATAGTTAAATAAGTACCATAGTTTTGCTCAGTGGTAATTAGGAATACAAATAATAAAAAATACATCCTCCCATTCACTATTGAATACACATTCTGATTACCTCATTCCAGGCTGACATCTTGTTACAGAAAATGGGACAAAATATTACTCCGAGACAAGAAGCCCTGTGAAACCAAACTGCTCGCGTATTGATACTAATCAGCAGAAAGAACCCACTTTTCGTCAGCAGTTCATATCTGTATCACTCAGTGTTTGCGTTAAAAATCACGCCTACAAGGGTTCGGGTTGTCCGTCTGTGGTTCAGCGGGAGGATGTCTCGCTTAGACTCCTGGGGGACGCATTCATAAACATTGCTCAGCCTGTAGTAAACCCTGTAACAACGGAAGGTTTGGCGTGAGACTAGCAACCCTATCCCGTAAAAATAACATCACTAACACTGAAACTCCAAAGCTCAAGCTTGAAGCCCTAAGTCCTACTCAGAATGCAAAGAAATTAAAAAGAAAACTGTCCAAACTATCACATGTTAGGAATGCAGTTTTACTGTTTTTTATCGTTTTTCTATTGAGAATATGGCTTAATTTACAAGCTAATGTGTTGTTGATTTCACTCTGATTAACTAGTTGATTCAACGTAAATAAGCTCAATAGGCTTCACTGTTTACTGCTTATTCCAAATTAACAATGTAAACTAATTTCACTCATTGGTTGTCATGTCAGACAAAAAACAAACAACAGAAGATGGTACACCCTTTTATTGTTTTCTGTATAGTGTAGCATGATGAAATGTCTTTATTTCTTTGTGACGTCTAAGAATATATATTCCGTACATAGTTTCTAATGAAAGCATGTATAGATAGTACACTGATTATGACTTATCAAAGTTTTTTATTTAACTATGGAATATTTTCCTGTGTCATGAAAGAGTTTAAACATAACTACTAGTTCAATATTAACATACAAAATTCTGTTTTCCACCAATTGTTAGTTATGAATAGTTTAAAGTTCTTAACAGAGCAACTTCAAACAAAGTTTAACATTGTCTTCACCACTTTTCTATATTTTCTGTCAACGCCATTCCTACAAATGTACACAAGTTTCTACCCACCCATATTACCTAACTAATTAAAGCCTATCCTCTGCATGTGTGTGTGTGTGTGTGAATCATTGGATTTACTCAAGCAGAAATATGCATTAACCGTATTGTTACGCCCTTTTACTTCTGTTGTGATAGACAAATGTCAATTTATTTGCGAGTATCATTACTATTCTTCTTATTATTATTAATAGTGGTAGTAGTAGTAATAGTAGTAACTGTTGTTGTTGTTGTTGGAAGTGTAATAACATTTGCAAACCTTTCATACTTCTTTATTTATCCAACATCCCAATTGCTATGATAATTCCAAGCTTACAGATAACCTATCTGATTCGATGGGTATGTATCTACAGTTGCGTATATTTTCATTTGTGAATATCTACTTTTATTCATATTTCTTACTATTCTTACATTTCCCTTCCCGAATTTACATTTGCCCAATTAAATTATTTCCTATCATTCCATATTAGTTTGTTTATTAGATGTATCACACAGTGAAACAGTATTGTATACTGGATGACGTTTCGAACACAATTTATTGTTCATAATGATATCAATTGTGGTCACACGACTTTGAGTTTTATAGTTTTCTTTGTTTTCTCCTATTTGTCTTATGGGCAGTAGAATTTTCTGTATATCTGGGACAGGTGTTGAATCGTTTCTGTTACATGTATTTGCAGTTGATTAGATAAACAAAGCTTTTGTTATCAATCTCTCCTTATACCCTGTGACATTAGATTTTAAAACTGTCATCCTATCCCATCCTATTGTATGGTTGTGTGTCACTGCATGTAGTGCTACAGCTGAACTATTTTCTAGATTTCTAATCTTATTTGGGTCAACCAATCTAGATTTAGTTAGGTTTTTATGTTCGGCTAGTCTGAATGCCCCTGTTCCACTAGTTTGACCTATGTATTTGACCTCACAATCATTGCAGTCAGGGTATTAGATAAACTAAATTGTTTTGTTTTAGTGGCTCTACAGGATCCTTTAGCCGACAAAGCTTGTTTCTAATTGAGTTTGTGGGTTTGAATGCCACTTTTATTCCTGCCTTGTTAAGTATTCTGCGTAAGGCTTCCGAGGTTCCTTCCTTGTATGGAATTACTGTTGATGATTTAGCTTCCTTATTGTTGGTGTCGTCATTAATATTATTATTATTATCACTATTATTATTACCATTATTATCATTATCATTATTATTATCACTATCACTATTATCATTATTTATTTTATTTTTACATTTACTTACATATTTCTTGACTAATTTATCCGGGTAATTATTAAGTTTCAAGGCTTCTTTTATGTATATCACTTCCTGTCTTAGATTTTCCTTGGTACTACTTAGTTTTTATGCTCTGTCATTTAAACATTTCACTAATCCTATTTTTACTGACATAGGATGGGATGATCGGAAATCCAAATATCTGTTTGAATGTGTGGGTTTTCTGTAAACACTAGTGTTCAGCTTCCCATCTTCTTTCCTTTTTACGTTGCAATCTAACATTGGAAAATCCCCTTTCTGACTTTCCAATTCATAAGTGAATTGAATTGCCTCTACCTTCGAGTTGATGTGCTCGAAAAATCTATCTATATCCTGTGTTTTAAGTAAAGTGAATGTGTCATCTACATACCTCCACCATACTTTTGGGGTGGGGGTGAACGTTTCAATTGCTATCTTTTCCCACCTATCCATGAATATATCTGCTACAACCGGGGATATTGGTGATCCCATGGCAACTCCCTCAGTTTGTTTGTATATTTTCCTGAGAACAAGAACAAAGGACACGTCAAACTATTAGTTAAACAAGATTAAATTCAAACGGATATCAGTCAATTTAATTCATTAACACCCACAAACAAGAATAAGAAGCGTCAATGAGTAAATATAAGTCTCACGTACTGTTAAAGAGACGGCTGTTGTATTTCAGTAGCCTCCCTGTTAGAAAAGCACTTATTAAGAGATCCACTTGAAACTGGATCATCCATTGATATTTAGGCACATATATCTGTCGAATTCCAAAGAAAGCTGATCACTACGTAAGCAATATATAATGACAAAAGCATTTTGTTTTTATGAGTGCTAACTCTTTTGTGCTTTTTATACCATGTCATCATAGGCGCCTACGGATAATGCTTAATAGTGGTTATGCATTTCATTAAAAAGCTGATCACTTCTTAACTTTACTACATAAACTCGTTAATGAATGCCTGATTTCGTTCATTCAGCCCCACAAACAATAATGATATATATGTATATATATTCTTGTTGTTTCCCTGGGTTCCGAGTGGAACTTATGGCTTCAACAGCACGTCTCCAACTTGGTCTTAATGCTGAGTGCAGACAATTCCCAGACTGATTTCAGATTGATGAAGGCGTAGCTTGCCTTTCCAATTCTGTATGGCTTTAACACTTCATCCGTTCCGCCTGCCTGTGGTTGAAACGATGCTTCCTAGATAAGTGAAGGAAGTAATCTCTTCCAAGTTTCTTCCGTTGATGGTGGTTGCCACTGGTTGTTGTTGTTGTTGTTGGTCGGTTGGTTGGTTGGTTATCTTCATCAACTCCGCCTTCTCTATGTTCACCTGGAGTCCTGTCTTCGCTGACTGCTTCTTCAACCAGTTTGTTGATTTTCACTCGCAAGTCTTCGAGTTTGTGTGACACTAAACATAAATCATCCACGCGCAAAATCCAGGTGTTCTAGAGTCTTCTCATCGGTCAGTGCAGCGTATTCCTGTCTTCTCACTCCCGAAGCATAGTCCAGCTCACCACAATTAAGAATATTATTTGTGACCATGGGCAGCCAGCCTTCTCTTACTCATGTATTCACTTCAAAGGCCTCTCTAAGTTTTCCACTGTGGATCGACTGACACGTGCTACTGTCATATAGCTGTTGAATGAGGTTGATAGAGATTTGGGAACTGCACTCAATAGTGTTGAAGTAGATTTCAAATTACTTCTAGGTCAACGTTGTCGAACGCCTTTTCTAAGTCGATGAAGGAAGTTAACGTACAGGTCTGACTGCCATTCTATGCTCCGTTCGACGATGATGCGTAGAGTTGGAATTTGATCAGCACATGATTTGCTTTTCCTGAATCCGACTTGTACAGGTCGGAGTTCTGCATTCAATGCACCAAATATATATATATATATATATATATATATATATATATATATGCGCGTTGCAGTTTTTATTTTTATGAGAAATAGCAGTAATAATTATACAGTGTTCACCTTTAATTTCTTAACTTGCTTTCACAAATGATTGATTCGTCATATACTTTTTCTGTTCTATGGAACATTGAATGGTTGACTAACTCAGATAATAGCTATTTTATTCCGAAAACGCCAAACGAAGACTAAGAGATTTATGTTAAAATATCAAACAATTGATGTAAAAAATTTATGGTGTATCCCTTCCCTTCAAATGTGACCACAAGTTGACTTCAATTAACAAATCATTTGAAAACTTAGGAATTCTGGACAGTTAGTTCGTTTTATTTTAGGATTCCTCAGCACTATAAATTCACACCAAGTTAACCTCATAGCATCATCAAATCGTCTGCATTAGGAACCAGCATGTCAACATGAAACTCGGAATAATTTCAACAAATAACAGGTGATAACTATTACACAAGAGGCGAAGCTCATGGTTCAGTGTCCTGCTGGATTAACCACTTTTGTGTTCAAAACGATGAGTGCTGGGTTTGAGTCATTTTGGGGCAAGTCTGACAAAAAGGGAAGGTTTGGTCAGTAGTTAATGTCCCCAACTCGTTAAAACAACACGGTTATTGAAACTTCAAGGCTTTAAGTCTGTTTCACTTGGAGCACAAAAGGACCAAAATTCATTTAGTAATGTATTCTATTTGGCGATACTGAGAAGAACATGACTGATGAAAATGTATAAAATGAACATTCGGAAAACGATACAAATAAAACTGATTTCACAATTTGCAAATACTATAGTCTGTTATATGTTAGATATGATTGATTCCTTGTTTTTGTATTTTTAATCAGCTTCTTCTCAGGTAAATAAGTACATTTCTTGAGTTTCTTCTTCAGTAGCTTTTTCTACTAACAAATGATCACTGCTTTTCTGAGGATCTTACACACTACTTATATATTTTTGTAAGCAGAACACACCACACTGCACTAAGAAATATATGTAAAAGCCCATTAAATTCAGAACCCTAGCGCCAACCAAAAATAAGTAGTAATAATTTCCGTTTGTGTGCGTCGGTGGCACGGCGGTTAGGACGCTCGCCGACCATGCACATGGTTCGGGGTTCGATCCCCGGCCGACGAAGCACTCCTTTACCCCGCTAAGCTAGAAATAATGCTGGTGAAGAGGAAAGGTTGGGCGTAGGGCTAGCAACCTCATCCTGTAAAATTAAACACTGCTATAGAAACTTCAAGCCATTAGCTTGAAGCCCTGTGTTCCACTAGGAACGTGAAGGAAAAAAAAATTCCGTATAATATGTTGAACTATTTATTAAATGAATACAGTGAATAAATGACCCATTGTTTTCTAAAGAGTTAATCACCTTAACTGTTATTTTGTTCTTATACCTCTTTTTACAGAATGGATTTACACCACTGCATGTTGCATGTCAAAAGAATCGCATTAAAATTGTAGAGCTTCTCCTGAAACATAACTGTTTAGTTCAAGCTACGACTGAGGTAAGGGGATGAGTGTTTTTTTTTCAGTTATTCTTTGCCTAATATATATATATATATATATATATTGTCACCAGCATAATTATTGAAAACCAAGGGATCCCTGAAAAAAGATGTTTCGTATGAATTCTTGTTACACCAAGCCATTCCAATGTCTGCCAACTACCAGCATACATTCTGTCCGTAGTCGATCTTTGTCAATCAGCTTTCACGCTTTTATCTAGTTTGGTCAGTGTCGCAGGTAACAAAGTCTCATTAGAACTTCAGGAAAGCCATCTCACAAGAAACCTAAAAATTCTTTACACTTCATCAGGACAGTAGAATGTACAAATATGAAACTAACGATTTAGTTGCAGAGATGACTATTAAAGCAAAGAATTTTATCTTTTACAAATATATAATAATATTGAATTGCTTGAGATAAGATATTTGAAATACTATTATATTTGGCAAATTTGATGTGCAAGATACCTGATTTGATTGTACTCGGTCGTTTAGGCTGAATTAAACAGGGTTGAGGAGGAAACCCTGTGTTTGAAAGTTAAATGCTTTCACTAATGATACATGCATTCTTTTTATAAACATTTATACAGTAACAGTTGATATAAGTATAAACTTGGGCACTGTGGTAGAGTATAACTCCATTATGGATAAGATTTTATTTTGATAAATCACACAGTGTTGTACAGTAATATTAATTGATGACGTTTCGAGCACAAATTATTGCTCATAATCATATCAAGTCATTCACACAACTTTTTACGTCATTTATATACATGAGTGGAATTAATTAGACATTTGAATAAAAATCAATATATCAACCAAATGCGACTGGATGGGAAATAAGATGTTTTTGTAGACAAAATAGGTAATCTGTTCGAATGTTATAATTTATATGAACTGAAATAGAATTTTAAGATTATTTACCCTCCTCTGATTTCAAAATAAAATAAAATCTTATCTATAGCAGTAACAGTTGATTTTAATTACACTTCAGAGAGTATCGTGGTAATTTTTTAAACACAATATAGCTTGCATTATTTTCGGTTGATTACAGCTGTGGTATGTCAGAGGAATATTGCACTGACACGCATTAAAATTCATTATATCTCAAGAAGGTTGGTGAAATTGAATAAAAGCTAAAAATGAGAACTAATGGTTTTCTCAGTGTTATGTTCAAGCGTGCTTAAATCAAAGCACAGAGCTTCATAAGACAAGAACCTGATTTAATGAACATCTTACTACTCATCTAGTCTATTGTTTGATTGTTTTGATGAAACCAAATTTGTAGAGCAACTACAACTTCATCATCTTCTAAATGAGACTTTTTGTTATTAGACAATAGGAATTAACAACTAGAAAAGACTAAAACAAGATCTGTTCAGTGTCTCTGCTCATCAGCAGAGTATACGTGTATCGTGAGTTTTGAACCCTTACACATCTTTTCTCAAGTTAGAGAATCAAAATATAAACTATCTTGGTCACAAATGATCTCTTGAAATAGAGATTAATACTGATTCATAATCAATTTGACTGTCTGATTTTAAATTGTGAAGTGATTGTAAATGTGCATTGCTCAGATGTTGCTCAACAGTCATAAAATCTAGATGATATGTAGCCTTATTAAAGACTGCCCCTTAGGATGCCTTGCAGTATCCTGTCAGGAGGCGGGAAGAGTTGTTTTATAAATCCTTGATTTCTTTTTTCTGTAAACCAGTCAGTCTAACATTTCAAAATCTTTAGATATGTAGTTTGTCAGTGAAAACAAACGTACTTGGTACTCCTACTAATCCCATTGTTTTTCTTTTCCTCCTCGTTTTGTTTTCTATTATATGCACAACAGTTTTTTATTCCTTTTTAACTGTAAAAAGGGAGAGAAAATTTCAGTCCACCCACTTTGATTACCTTTACTAATGAATTACTGAATTAACAATAAGGAAAGAGAGAGAGAGAAAGTAACAAGCAAAATTAAGCATCTAACTTTGCATTTATGTTTCCCGTAGACTTTGATTTCTATTTTTCTTTTCTAATCGTAGTATAATTATCTCTATTAAGTCTATTCACTCAATATTCTCGTCTACAGTTATTTACTTGAATGAGAATAATAACAATAGAGTACAAGTAATATGAATCTATTATTGAATTGGTGCGTATTAATCGCCTTTGTGTAGATTTACTCTTTTTCCCTTAATTTCCTTATGGGTATTTTCTCATCAAAATGAGTCTTTCTTCAATGTATCTGTCTATTTCCTGAAATTATTGTTAGTGAAGTTAGACAGTGATGTTTGCTAATAATTCTAAACAGCTAATTTAGATATAAAGATGATAAGAATAACATAACATACAGATGAATGATGTAATAGCTCAGTTAGTTGCATTCTGGATGTTCGAACAGATCCCGCATTTGTATGCGCCAGTGGTTCAATGGTAAAATGCTCTCTGAATATACAGGAAGTTCAGGGTTGATTCCTGGCCGGCATAATTTTAAATCTCACCTAGTAAGTCTGGAATACGCGAGAGAGTTTGGGTGGGAGTTTAGTAACGTCACTGCATGAAAACAACACAACCATTACCGAAAAACTTGAAACCTTGTGTTCCACTAGAAACGCAAGAAATAAAAAAAAGAAAGAAAAGAAAACAGTTTGTAATAGATTCTGTCTAAATTATTCTGTACACACTCACAACCTTAGAAAATAAACTACATTTTCTGTCTTTAACTCCATGTATAAATTCAATACTAGTTATCCAATATCTGAGTAAATTAAATTTCTGAAGTTATAAGTGAATAGTCTTGACTATTCCGTCAACCACATCAAATCACCAATGATAGTTTATTCTTGCTAGGTGAATGGAGGCAGCTGGCAAGAAGCCATTGAACATTCGTTTCATGTTTGCTAAAACTCATTAGGAAGGAGTATCTGAAATCTCGAAGGAACAGGTGTCACTCTGATATTTGAACTTGATTCACTCAGTGCTTAATTTAGAGACGTAACAACTGACCTATTTAGCCGAGGGGTAAGTCAGTGAGTTCCAGGCTTTCCACTCGTTTCATCCAATTAATTAACGTCATTTCAGGCTTTATCTTCATGATAAGTAACCTAGTTTGATAAACGTATAACAAACTTGACTGATAGGACTAAATACATGACACTTATTATTCCCTAGTTAGTCACAGTGTATATTTTATTGTACACCACCAATCACTCAGAATGTTTATCTAATTTTGAATAAATAATAATTAAAAAATCTATAGAAAACAGTTTTACCTTTTGAATTTTTAACTCACCTATCCTTATCTACTTCTTGCATGTACTTCCTATGCTTACATAGTAAGTCTGTCCGTGTTGGAGATATCTTGTTGGTGGGTAAAAATCGTCATGAAACACAGAATGAATAAAACTGCCTGTTGAATAACCTGTTTACATGTAATTTTACTATCAAGTTTCCAAAACTATCAGTTACCACAGTTCGAAGACATAGGTACATATATATTCAGGACGCATACGGTACAAAGTGCATTTTTATACAAAGAGCGACAATAGCTGGCTTCATGAGAAATCTGTTTATCGATAATACGACAATACATTACGATGATATTGACTGTACACTATCAGACCACAGTCTTCGAAATGTTAAGAATCTATCACTGAACACCATTTGCGATATCAATGGAAACCTGGCATACTGAAGTTTAATGTATTTGCTTTGCGAAACACAGATTATGGAACAACGAATATGCTTTCCTACAACTTCAGGCCCTACAGGCATGTGTCCAAATTAGTCAGACAGTAATTGTTATTAACAGCATTAATATTTAATATGGTACCGAATTATTTCAATTACGAAATCCCAGAGATTTATGTGAGTAAATAAATACTGGATTCTAGTTCAAAACATGTGTGTGTGATAACATGCATAAATATGGCACTAGACTGAACTTCACATATCAAAGTAAATGATTATAAATAACGGTGGATATACCGAAATGAATCGTTGCGACTCATGCTTAAAATGAATTTTATTCAGTTTGATTTTAAATTTCATACGAATAAGCGTTAACATCGAAAATTTGGAGAGAAAATTTGGTAGTAGATTTTGTGTGTGTGTGTGTGTGTGCAAGTAAGTGCTAGATTGAATAATTAAGGAGGAATTCAGAAAATTAAGGGTTAGTACGAATGCGAAGATACAAAGATAATTGAATAAGATGAATTCCATTGAAAAATAAACAAGGGATAGGAATAATGTACGTCCACAGAACGAAAGATCACACCAAAAGGCATGATGTAACACAATATTTACGAATTATGTAAATTCCACAGCAGGTCTTGAAAACAATATTAACTGAACTCGTTTCTTTTGTACACAAAGTTTCGGCTGTTTTGAATCAGTTCCTGTAATTGCTATAAGAATAAAACTTGTGCACTGTGAAAGAGTGTAATTCCATTATGGGTAAATTTTGTTTTGATAAAGTCTCACAGCAATATTTACTGATCAGTACACATTACTGTATAACACTGTGAGACTGTATCAAACAAAAACATTTATCCTGTGATTGCTGTCGTTAGAAGTATTCGGTATTTAATGGCTTTGAGTAGTTTTGTAGGTGCATGGTGGTCAATGTATAATGATTCTCCACTACTTGCTTTGTGACCTGTTTTGGACAGGTATGTGGATGTTGGATATTTTTTATTTTTGATTACAGCTTGATTCCACACTGTTTTTTTGATACAAGTATGGAATTTTCAGCATGGATATTGGTAGCCCAAATTTCCCAGGCCGACCACGGATATCAGGTGTGCGTCGGCAGGGGATCGAACCTCGGACCATGTGCATGATCAGCGAGAGTCCTAACCACTGTGCCGCCGACGCACATTATTCCACCGTACCCTATTTTTGAATGTTTCGTCAGTGCTTTCTTACTTTATTTGCTGATTAGGTTTTCATTGAGTTTTACGCCCAATGCCTATTACTGTGATATTACACTAATAACCACCGCTGGAGTTATCCTATTCTATTCTGTTTATTTATTTCAGTCTGGTTTGACACCGCTTCATGTATCGTGTTTTATGGGACATTTAAATATTGTAGTCCTGTTATTGCAGCACGGTGCTAATGCAAATGCACCAACTGTACGTTGTGAGACCAGTTTACACCTAGCTACTCGCGCTGGACAAACTGATGTTGCCCGTCTACTTTTACGTAATGGCGCTCATGTGGATGTTAAGGCTAGAGTAAGTTATCGAAAATTTTTCATTTATATACCGGCGAATTACTAGAACTCCAACTGGTTTACTAGCTCGCTAGTTTCTATCCTGTTCCAAGCACAGGGAAAGATCGGCGTGGGGATAGTGACCCTACCCCGGTAAACCAATCAAACTGCTACAGAAACTTCAATGCACAAAATAATATTAGAAGACACGAGAATTATAAATAAAAAACTTATTTTTCTCTGGAATCGGAGAGGTGAAATGACTTTGGTTGGTGAAAGTCTCCCGAAATCCAGTCATATGATGTGTCTTCTTTCGATGAAAGTAGAAATAAGAATGGACACATAAAGTGTTCTTACTATGTACGAAGCCGTGAAGACTGCCCAGGCTACTAAAGAAATCAGAAGATGTGACACGAAAGTGCTAGGAATCTGAGAGAGCAGATGGAATGCATGTGGACTATCCAGATTTTCAACTAGAGATTCAGCAATCGACTCCAGTATAGTCAACCAGATGACAACCACGAGCACACTGAGTGCTTATTATGGTGTCACCAACAGCAGCCAAAGCTCTTACGCAGTGAGAACCAATCTCCCCCAGGATTATGACTGCAAGATTCAACTGAAAAGGAAGGGGAGTTACTATTACCCAATGGTATGCACCTACACACAACCCAGAACAAGAGAAGAAGGAAGACTTCAATAAACGACTGCAAAAAATAGTTGACAACATCCCAAACGGAGACATCAAAATTCTTATGGGCGGTATCAACGCCAAACTGGGGGCAGACAATACAGGAAGAGAACTCACCATGGGTCGACAGGCTCTCGCTGAGACGAATGATAGGGGAGAATTCTTCGCAAACTTTTGCACCTTCAATTATTTAGTCATTGGAGGCAGCGTGTGCAAGCACAGGATATACACAAAGCAACATGGATTTCGCTTGATGGACACACCACAAACCAGATAGATTTCATCTCAATCTCAAGGGGGTGGAGATGCAGCCTGACGGATACAAAGTCGAGAAGGGGAGCAGATGGGGGTTCACACCATCATCTAGTTCAAAGAACCTTCAAGGTGAAGCCGAAATCCCTGAAGACAACTGGAGACAGACCACAATTCAAGTTCAACATTCAGAAGCTGAGTAGCAAAACTACAATCAACACTTTAACTACGGCTATCAGGACAAAGTCGGAGACACTACGCAGACTCAGCAGTGAGGAAACCTGCCTGGGAGAACATTGGAACTCTTTGAAGGTGATGTTCAAGTAAACGTGCACAACCGCTCTAGGAAGAAAGAAGAGCCAAGACAAGGAATGACTCTCTACGGACAACTGAAAGCTAATAGAAGAGGGGAGGATGATGCAGCATAAGATGAACCAATGCAGAGCCGAACGACAAAAGAAGGAATTGAGGTGAATGCAACATCTCACTGAATAAAGAAGTGAAGAATTGTACTAGGAAAGACAAAAGGCAATTCTATGCCATACTACTGACTGAAGCAGCATACGCTGCAGTTAAAACAGACCTCAGAACACTATACCAGAAATACCACCAACAGCACACACTCCACTGCTAGGGGACACCATTCCCCCAACAGAAGCAGACATTCTGTCTGTGATGACGTTATGGAAGTCCAGGAAGTCAGCAGGACCAGATGGAATTCCCCCTGAAGTACTGAAAAGAGATCCAAGGATGGCGGCGAATATGCTGAGGCCACTACTGCAAAAGATTTCGAAGGTACAATAGGGCACCTATCGATTGGGAGAAAGGCTATCTTGTCAAGCTGCCAAAGAAGGGCCATATAAGCCCCTGAAAGAACTGGTGCTGAATCACACTCTTCGATACGCCAAGTAAAATAATAAACCGCATCATTCTGGAGAAAATAAGGAATGTATTGGATGCAGAACTCCGACCTGTACAAGTCGGATTCAGGAAAAGCAAATCATGTGCTGATCAAATTCCAACTCTACGCATCATCGTCGAACGGAGCATAGAATGGCAGTCAGACCTGTACGTTAACTTCCTTCATCGACTTAGAAAAGGCGTTCGACAACGTTGACCTAGAAGTAATTTGAAATCTACTTCAACACTATTGAGTGCAGTTCCCAAATCTCTATCAACCTCATTCAACAGCTATATGACAGTAGCACGTGTCAGTCGATCCACAGTGGAAAACTTAGAGAGGCCTTTGAAGTGAATACATGAGTAAGAGAAGGCTGGCTGCCCATGATCACAAATAATATTCTTAATTGTGGTGAGCTGGACTATGCTTCGGGAGTGAGAAGACAGGAATACGCTGCACTGACCGATGAGAAGACTCTAGAACACCTGGATTTTGCGCGTGGATGATTTGTGTTTAGTGTCACACAAACTCGAAGACTTGCGAGTGAAAATCAACAAACTGGTTGAAGAAGCAGTCAGCGAAGACAGGACTCCAGGTGAACATAGAGAAGGCGGAGTTGATGAAGATAACCAACCAACCAACCAACCGACCAACAACAACAACAACCAGTGGCAACCACCATCAACGGAAGAAACTTGGAAGAGATTACTTCCTTCACTTATCTAGGAAGCGTCGTTTCAACCACAGGCAGGCGGAACGGATGAAGTGTTAAAGCCATACAGAATTGGAAAGAGAATTTTCTGCACCTAGCATAAAGAACAAGATTCAGATTGTTTGACACAAGCGTGAAGTGGCTTCGTTCCTATGTATTGGTCAGAGACTTGGCTATTGCGTCATGAAAAGCATTTCCAACGGATTGCTGCAGACTTTTATTAACAACTGCTTTCGTCTTATATAGAATATCAAATGGCCAGAAACAATTAACAATAAGAAAGTATGAGAACAAGCTAACCAACAACCTATCGTTTAACAAATATGTAGGAGAAAATGAAGATGGGTTGGTCAGGCGAATAGGGGACATTTGAGTGATATTGACCGCCACGGCATTGCTCGAGTGGAACCCGAGATGAAAACTACGCATGGATTGTCCGAGGATGACATGGAGGAGATGAGGGATTATGGACAACCGTGGGGCCAGCTAAATAGAACACCAGAAAAAAGAACAAACTGGATATGTGTTGTTGAAGCCCTACACTCCACCCTGAACTGAAAGGAACAGTAATTAATAATAATAATGAGTGGAGTCTTGGATACTTATAATAATACTTGTCTGAAGTAACTGATTTTTAGGAGTAGTTTTCAAATATCTACTTTATATGAAATTTTTTTCTAAAAGTAGGAATCACTTATTGGGTATTTGTTCAGTCTTTTACTTTTTATTGGTGGATTTATGTATACATTGCCTCTTTTATTACGTTCAACTGATTTGAAATGTGCTGGCACTTTTAATATCAGCTCCACTTGAAGGCATACTTTCAACATTCACCTTCTCAGTGTGGGTCATATCATTTGTCAAGGATTTTGAGATTTTATGATTAATAAAACACGGGTATAATTATAATTAAAACAGTAATTTCACGTGTTGAACCTGTTCATTTGTCAGTTGTAGGTATCATCATTGTACTAGGACTTTGGTGATTCTCACAAGTGACTTTTGAATCTACATGTGCATTGCATTTGATAATATCATTATGAGCTATAAATAAATTAAAACTAATTCGCGATACATTTTAAGAGGATGCAATAGCAGCTAATCTACATTATTAACAAATCAGCAGCAGCAGTATGAACCTAAAAGAAGTCGTATACCTCGCTTACCTGAGTGGCATAGTTTCAGCTACAGGCTGGCGCCACGTATTAGGTTATGAAGGCTAGCTAGGATCTGAAAAGCAAGGCATGCTTTCGTTACTGTGAAATCATTGTGAAGATCAACGGCACTCTGTATAAGGAACAAGATCCAAATTTTCAACACCAATGTCAAGACAGTCAGTGCATCCATATACCTCACAGGCTTACCGTGCCATAAAAAGCGTTTACAACCGGCTACTGAAGACTTTCATCAACAAATTCTCTCTGTCGATGATACTGGAGTTCAGATTGCCATGTAAAAGGATAAACAATAAGATTATCCGGTAACGAGACAACCAAGAACCTATGACCCATAAATATGCGAAGTGAAATGAAGGTGGATTGGACATACGCTGAGGAAACTTTTCAGTGACGTCACACTCCAAACCCACGAGTGGAACTTCAATGGAAAACAAAAATGGGTATGGGTGCTAGAGTAACATGGAGAAGATCATATGAGAGGGAGCCGAAAGGTTATGACCAATCATGGAGCCAGCTTCAGAGAATAAAGTGGAATGATAATGTGATGCTGAAGCGCTAAGATCGACTACGAAACCGAGGGACGAACAATAATAATATAATATAGGTCGTTGTGTAATATGTAATCTTCTTCATTGTCGAATAAATATATCTAATATTAGAATAAAGTATTAGGAAGACAAATTTCGCGAGATGATATCATTTCATAGTTTCTTTACAACCGCTTTACAACTAATATGGTTCACAATAATAAAATAAAATGCACGACAATTACTCAGTTAAATACAAAACAAACAAAAGTACATACTAATGACCAATCATATTTATATAGGTCATGTTGTCTCTGGCGAAGGTTGAAGTCTATTGTTTTTTGTACACACAGTTTAGGCTGTATGTGATTAACCCCGCAAAGTGCTTCTATCACCTTCAATAACCTTGAATTAGAGTTATGTGAAATAATTGTGAAACAGTCATTAATATTGATTTTATAACCTGACATTAATAAGTGTTTTGCACTGGATGATGTTGGATTCCTATTCAGATTAATCGCGTTGGGATTTTCTATATGATTTAGTAGCCATTTTGGAACATGTTCTTTTTGACTACATTGAAACATTCTGTTGGTTCGACTTATGTAGGCGTCACCGCAGCTGCAGTTGAACTTATAGATACAATTTGAAGTAGAGTCCACAGAATTTCTTCCTTTAATCGTAGGTACAGGAATCGAAAATGTTCAGCAAGTGAGAAAAAGTGATGGGGCGTAGAATGTGCGTTTGGTGGCTGATCAAAGTCTTTGAGCTGTTAACTGCATAATCTGGTCACCCTTGAATGGTAGGTTAATAAAGATGGCTTTCTTTGGTACAGAAGCTGTCTTTTCGAGATGTGGTCTATCTTTACTGTGACAAGTGATAAAGTTTTCTGGATAACCATTAGTTAATAAAACTGAATGTATGTATCGAAGATCATCAATCAATGTGTCACTCGTGCATGTTTTTCGGGCCCTTGAGAACAAACATTTCACTAGGGAACGTTTATACTGGATAGGAACAAAACTGGTAAAATGAGGAAATTGTTCACTCCATGTCTGTTTACGAAAAATAGATCGTTAAATCGTTCCATCATCTCTCCTAGTCATAGTAATATCCAGGATACCGAGTTTGTTATTCGATTCTAGTTCGGATATTTGGATGAATGTGGTTAAATAGGGTAATAAAGTTTTCAATAGATTTACTATTATTACCAATAATGAGAGTATCATCTACATAACGTTTATATAGCATAAATTCTCCAAGCATACCTTGCATTTGTCTCTCCAGTTTCGATATGAAAATATCTTCTAAATTGGATGATTTACTTGCTAAGCTTTCATTGTCATTTTTAGATATATAACTTAGTGAAACAATATTATTATTTAATAGGAAAATATTTTGAGCGCAATTCGCCACACATGGAGTTCTGTAAATTACACCAACACAAAAATAACTGTAATAGCATCGTTTCAGAAAGTATTTTAGATACTTTCAAAGCGAAATTCCTCTACTCCTAAAACAACAAAAAATGTAAATAGTTCAAATTATACAAACATATGCCTTAAATGTTGTGATTTCGTGTTTAATGCCGTGAAAAAGAAATCACTTTCAAAAATCATTCAAGGGAAAATACTGTTTCACTTTGTGATATGTGTAGTGAGACATCTAATATAATATTAAACAAATAGCTACATATCATTTTTTCATATGATGGCTAGAAAAACCTCTGATAAGTAATGTGAAATTTTTATCTGATCAGTCAGTAGAATACTGAGTCACTGGTCTTTATCTATGCTAAAAATGAAGTTTTCGGTTTCTCAAAATATAACTCATACTGTTATGAACTTGGATTCAAGCAGCAGTATTTGGATACTAGTTGACACGATACACGAGAGGTTACATAGTATTCTATCACTTATCCGTGTAACGAGTAGCTATTCAGAATAGGCAAGGTTTAAAGTGAATCGACTACATTATTGAGGTCTTTCAGGCACACGGCTGATGAATCTAGCCCCTCGTTCGATATCTAGATCACTTTAGTCTAGCTAGGAAGAAGTGCCGTTTGGCGTGACTGGTTTCTAACTACTATCACAAAGGAATTACCGTTTTAGTTGATTGCAATATATTTCGCATCATGATGTCATATTAGATATAACTATACTAGCTATATTCTATGTCTTAAACGGGATAATTCGGATAAATATGTGGAATGTAGCCAAAAATTCATACAATTTTTCCATAATTTCCTACTTGATGCTAGTAGTTGATGAATATTAATTGATGTTTAAATCGAGAAGTAACGTGGCAGACTCAAAACTTCGATGTTAGTATATCCTTGAAACCTTATCCTTTGTTATGAAAATAAGTCAGAAAGTGTCTAGAGCATTTAAGGGCTAATTCACACTTAAAACGAACGTGTGGCACTAACTAAAAAGTAAAATCTCTAAAGTCTTTAATTTTTGGAAACAAATATTCACACTACTTAGAAGTAATTATATCACCATAAAATAAATAAGCTAAACTCTATCACTTAGTCCCTTTTATAAATTTGGTTAACGTTATTAGAAGACGGAGATTATCTATCAATTTTATTCTGCTTTTTTCTTTCTTTATTCAGGGTAATCAGACACCATTGCACATAGCTTCACGTATTGGTAATATTGAATTAGTCACCTTACTTCTGGAACATGTTGCCAATGTGCAAGCTGTAACTAAAGACACTTACACACCAATACATTTAGCTGCTAAAGGAAATCACAAAGAAATTTGTGAATTACTTTTTAAAAATGGAGCCGAATTAGAAGTAACAACCAAGGTAACTAATTATTATTGCTTATTTTATTTATTTCTGTTCCCAGTGAAATATAAAGCTTCAAGCTTCAGTTTTGAAATTGCATTAGCAGTAGTGTTCTTTGTAAGGAGTAAGGTTGCTAGCCTGATGCCCAACCTTCTTTTACCGGGCTTGCTACTGGCTAAGCAAGGTTTAGGAGTGAGTCGGCCAGTGTTCGGACTCCAGGCAACGTATGGGGTTGGCAGAACTCGGGAGGAACAGACGAGGGGAAATCAAGCAGGCTTTAGACCAGGTAGAGGGTGCATAGATCATATCTTCACTCCCCAACAGATTCTAGAACATAGACACACTTTTCGGCGTCCAACAATTGTCATATTTCTTGACTTGAAGGCGGCCTTCGACTCCGTGGATCGAAAGGTACTATGGCAATGTCTGACTGTGAAGGGAGTGCCAAGAAAGTACATTGCACTAATTAAGGCACTCTATTCAAACTCATATAGTCGTGTAAGGGCTTATGGGGAATTGTCATCTGAATTGGTAACAACCAGTGGTGTCCGACAGGGATGTCCACTTTCCCCATTTCTGTTTAACTTCGTCATAGATATCCTGATGGGAGTATCCTTAACTGAACGTAACGACTTAGGAATCGACTTGTTACCAGGGAATAGTCTTATGGACTTAGAATATGCAGATGACATAGTCCTGTTAGAGGAGGATGCTGACAAAATGCAGAGTCTTCTGAACACCTTGAGCAGCAATCTTCGTATGTTTGGCATGCGATTCGCCCCTGCAAAATGCAAGATGCTGCTACAGGACTGGACTACGTCAACTCCTAGCTTAGTGATAGGGAGTGAAGTGATAGAACATGTCGACCACTTCACCTATTTGGGAAGTTGTATTAGCACCAACGGACTGATTGGCGATGAAATCTCAGCACGGATCCAAAAAGATCGAGCTGCTTTCGCTGACTTACACCATCTCTGGCGTAGGCGTGACATCCGGCCATCAACCCAGGGACGTGTGTACTGCTCAGCAGTTCGCTCCGTCCTTCTCTATGGCTCTGAAACATGGCCAATACGAGTTGAAGACATGAAAAGGTTGACTGCTTTCGATCATAGATGTCTGCGATCTCTGTCTCACGTTAGGTGGTTTCACAAGGTAAGTAATGCTGACGTTAGGCGTAGAGTGTTGGGTAAAGAGGGAAAATCAATCGACGAGGCTATAAAGTTACATAGACTGAGATGGCTGGGTCACGTGCTGCGCATGCCTAACCATCGCCTCCCCCGACGGGCATTACTAGCTGATATAGGTGTAGGTTGGAAAAGAGCCAGTCGTAGCCAAACAAAAACATGGCATCAATCCATGAAATTCTTGACAGTTAAACTGAGTCAGGTAGGGAGATGCAGACTTCCGGGTTGGGGCCCTCGGGACTCTAGGAATCAATGGCTGGAGACAATAGGTGACATGGCTCAAAATCGTTGTCAATGGCGCAGATGTATTCAGTCTCTGTAATCTTTCATATTCCTTTCTACCATTACCCATTCTGTTTCACTCTTATACTTGTCAGACTGTATCGATTCTCTTCAGTCATCTTCTTGTCTACCTTCGTGTGTGTGGTATTTGGAACGTGGCAACTCGAACTGCTGCACTTCGGTGCCAAGTTCTATGTTGAATCCAGACAGACAGACAGATGTGGTTGGCAACCGTCCTACCACTGCACTAAAGATAGTTAATAATCAATAATGAATATTATAAATTATATGAGTGACATATGATTGTTCACTGAACTTACCGGCTGTCGCTCGTCCATCCAAGAATGGATTTACCGATGCTGCAATAAGTTTTACACAAATCTGTTTGTTCAAAAAGTTCATGACAAGATTTTACAATAAGTGAGACAATGTTTCTGATACATTATATAAGAAAATTGGATAACTGTGAATTCTAGGACTCTCAATCGTCCTATTTGCAACTCGTTAGATGGATGTACTTGTGTAACAGCAGAATGCAAGACACAGAAGATATATGATTATGAGTAATAGTTTGTGCTCGAAACGTCATCAATTATTATTACTGTCTAACACTGTGTGGTTTATCAAAAAAGTCTTATCTATAATAGAGTTATACTCTACCACAGTGCCAAAGTTTTATACTTATATGAAAGGTATATTTTTCATTAATCAACCCTCTTTTTATATATCTACAGTTTATATTCGTTAGTCAGTCACGGAGCGTGTGATTTCGGTTTACATCAAACAACATGAAATAGAATGTTCATATATACACAATATTATTTTGCTAACGCATTACTGAACTGTGAGAATACGTGAAAATTATTTTACGTTGGCACACATTATTTGTATCACACCATCACACTTAAATTCCATTTAGAAATAGTGGTTTTATTGAGAATCGAACCTACCATATAAGACACTGAAGCATTATCATGGCGTTGGTACTAACGGCCGACATGTTAACTGAAAATTTCTGCTAAATCAAATCAAATCGATGGAAATTTAAAATAATTTCATAATATAGTTTCAATTCATTTGAGTTTATTCATCAATCACGTATCTAATGACGCCTCACTTATAATCCATTTCACATTGTATGCATAGTATTCAATTGATGATTTCCACTGAAATCTAATAAAAACATAAAATCCAGCATTACTAACACATTTCATTGGTTTTAAATTCGTATCGGAGAAAATACGTTTTTCCAGTTACAGTTCCTCTGATGTCTTCCCACGCCTTATCAACATTGAAGTTTTGAAAACTATGAGGCAATTCAAATTGTCATGTTTGAAAAAATCGTTAACAATGGACAATAGTGTGCGTCAGAAGGATGATTCATTAATTAGTGGTTATAAGCCACTGAAAGTAATATTTCAAAGTGACTACTTTTTAATACTCGCACCTGTCGTGCTCAATCAGGTGTTGCTGAAACTAAGAGTTAATAAAATAGTTTTATCAGTGGAATATAAGTTGTCTTATTTAAAGACTAATTGTGTTCAACTATAGATACTTTCATATCTTCCCCAAAAAACTTTCAGGTTTTTCATGCGTAGAACAGAACTTCCTAGAATGGCATACACACTTTCTGGTTAGAATAATATCTCACTGGCAAAACATATGGGACATCGATTGATGCAAACTTACCTGTATCACATAACCGTCGACACATAAAACTATCCAGATACTATACGGACCGATATAAGTGTAAAACTTAGGCACTGTGGTAGAGTATAACTCCACTATGGATAAGATTTTATTTGATAAATCACACAGTGTTGTACAGTAATATTAATTGATGACGTTTCGAGCACAAACTATTGCCCGTAATCATATCAAGTTACTCACACAACTCTTTTCTTTCATTTATATACGTATGTGGAATTGAATAAATATTTAAATAAAAATCAATATGGGATTTATCAAAATAAAATCGTATCCATAATGGAACTATGCGGATCGATGGAGCAGATTTTTTATCGCAGATGGATGACACCGGTGTAGTTGTATTCTCTGAACTGGATGATTTATTTAGCAGTCCTTCAGTGCAGACTCCGATATGGACTTTTGTTCTGTCTGAAATGGATAATGATAATAGTTGTGGACAGCTGTCTCTGAACACTCACATTGATTAGGACGTATCATATTCACTGGTGAAAATATCTTTAGAAATATTGGTATTAATATAGTGCATATGTGAGAATGTTTAACTACGATTGTAGAGCTAATAAAATAACTGGCAAATTTTCCCGTACGGTTCATTTTCATTTTACTTATAAGATTTCTCGTACTCATTGTGCAATACGGATATTTGCTTATTACCGAATAAGCCAATTGAGGTGTCACCCCTGTCAGACAACTTTATATGCTGATGCCTTTTGGTAGTTGGCTTGGGAGGCGATCTCGTCCAGGATAATAACCGCCAGATTCAACTCCAAAGGAAGGAAAGTGTCAATTATACAATGTTATGCACCCAAAAACAACGCACACCTCGAAAAGAAAGAAGAATTCTACAGACAACTACAGGCAACAATGGACAATACTCCAGCTGGCGACATTAAAATAATAATAGGAGACATGGACGCCAAACTGGGACCAGACAACAGAGGAAGAGAACTCATCATGGGTAGAGAAGCTCTCGGAGAAATGAATGAAAGTGGAGAACTCTTCACCGACTTCTGCGCCTTCAATGAACTAGTGATTGGTGGCAGCGTATACAAACACAAAGATATCCACAAGGCTACATGGGTGTCAACAGATGGGCAAACCAAAAACCAAATCGACTTCATCTCAATACTGCTCAAGGAAGTGGAGGCGCAGCCTACTGGACACAAAAGTAAGAAGAGGAGCAGACGTTGGCTCAGACAACTATCTCGTACAAGGGACAATCCAAATCAAATTAAAAGCTTTCAGGGAAACAGGAGCTGCAGACAGACCACAAGCCAAGTTCAACACTCAAAAACTGAAGGACCAAGATACAAAGGACATCTTCATTGCAAGCATAAAGGACAAAGCCGAGACACAAATCAACACCAGCGAAAAGGTCGGCGTCGAAAAGCACTGGGACAACTTGAAAACGATGTGGAGTCAAACCTGCATGGAAGTTCTAGACAGAAAGAAAAGTCAGGACAAACAATGGCTCACTACGGACACTTGGAAACTAATAGAAGAGAGATGGATGGTGAAACAAAAGATTATCCAGTGCACCGACGAGCAACAAAACGGGAGTTGAATGCAAGCTACAATACACTGAACAAAAGAGTGAAGAAGAGTGCCAGGGAAGACAAAAGAAAATATTATGAAACCATGGGAAGTGAAGCAGAACAAGCTGCAGGCAAAGGAGACCTCTCCACACTCTACCAAACAACTAGGCACCTATCGGGCAAAAGTTCGACACAGATTAAGCCAATAAAGGACGACAATGGGAAGTGAATCACCAAAGAGGTGGAACAAAGAAAACTATGGGCTGAACACTTCAGAAGACTTCTAAATCGACCGCCACCTACAACGCGGCCGATAATACCAACAACGGAAGCAGAACTACTAGTGGACATCAACCCCCGACGAGAACAGAAGTCCTGAAGGCAATCAAGATGCTAAAAGCTGGAAAAGAAGCAGGACCAGACGAAATCCCAGCAGAAGCATTGAAAATGGACCCAGAGACATCAGTGGACTTGATGACACCACTACTGGAGAAGGTGTGGAAAGAGGGCAAGGTCCCTGAGGATTGGAAGAAAGGATACTTATTCAAACTACCAAAGAAAGGAGACTTAAGTCAATGCAAGAAATGGTGCAGAATTATGCTCCTGTCCATTCCAAGCAAAATACTAAGCCGCATCATCCTGGAGAGAATCAAACACACCAATCTGGATGAAAAACTTCGACCGGAACAAGCTGGATTCAGGAGGAACAAGTCATGCATCAATCAAATCGCCACACTACGGATCATCATTGAACAGAGCTTGGAATTGCAGTCACCTCTCTGTCTCAATTTCATCGACTTTGAAAAGGCTTTCGACAGCGTCGATCGAGAGGTGATTCGGAAACTACATCGCTACTACGGGTTGACGCCAACAATTATACACCTTATCCAACTGTTGTACTACAATGCTGCATACCAAGTAATCCACAACGGGAAACTCACGGAATCCTTCGAAGTGAAGACGGGAGTAAGACAAGGCTGGCTGCCTACTATCTCCAATGATTAATTTCCTGATTGTGATAGACTGGATAATGAGACAGACAGCGGGCAGCGAGGAAACAGGCATAAAATGGACCCACACAAAAAACTTGGAGGATTTGGACTTCGCCGATGATATATGTCTGATTTCTGACAAACTAGAAGATATGCAAGGGATGAAAAGCAACAAGTTGGCAGAAGAAGCATCAAAAATGATATGAATTCAGGTGAACATAGAGAAGACAGAGGTGATGGAGATTCCTGGGCAACAACAACAGACAACAATCAGCATAAATGAGAGAAATCTGAAAGAAACAACCTCCTTTACCTACCTGGGAAGCATCGTTTCAACTACAGGCGGACGGAACTGATGAGGATATCAAGGCCAGAATCGGAAAAGCAAGGCAAGCTTTCATTACTCTTATGTCTGTGTGGAGGTCAACAGCACTCACCATAAAAAATAAGATCCGGATTTTCAACTCCAATATAAAGTCAGTGCTACTTTATCGCGTCATGAAGAGCACCTCAGATAAACTACAGACCTTCATCAACAACTGTCTTCGCTTAATACTCCACATCAGATTGCCAGAAAAGATCAGCAACAGGGATCTCTGGCAGTGAGCGAACCAACCAGAAACTGATTGTGCAATAAATATGCAGGAAGAAATGGAAGTGAATTGGCCATACTCTGAGGAAACCATCAAGTGACATCATAAGACAGGCCATTGCTCGAGTGGAACCCGAAAGGGAAGCGGCGAGTTGGTCGTCAGTGCGAGGATGACATAAAGGAGGTCATGTGAGGAGGAGATGAAAGCATGTGGGCAGACTTGGAGTGGGGTGAAAAATTTGACAGAAAACAGAAGGCAATGGAGGTGCGCAGTTGAAGCCCTATGTTCCTCAAGGAATGAAAGGATATAATAATAATATGTAATTTTAATAAATCAAGATAAATCAAAGTGCATTATCCGCTAGCTAAATTTTTAACATCACTTTTCTTTAAAAAGATTCTAACATTGCATTAACCCTTGTTTTATTTGGTACACACTAGAAGTCCTCTGAAGCATTAAAAACTTGCTTGTCAACTCACTAATTTAGAGAAAAATAAATAGGGTAATCAATTGTTTTCAATAAATTCTTCTTCAGGCTCTACAATTATAAATCCATTAATTTAAGCACACAATAGCCAGTCAGTAAAGGCAAATTAGAATCATATCAGACAGTGTATTGTGGAATACGTGTGAGATGGGATGGAACAATAGTCAGTTAGTTTTGAATATCCATGGTCAATGAGAACATGAATTCAACTGCTCATATGGAGGTAGTTACATTGGCCGTACTCAGAGAGTTTTGTCCATGAGCGCACGTGAACATGTACCTGTGTGGTTGAGTAAATGGGTAACCAAATGCTTAAATAATGCGGTCTTAGCCCACTTGGTAGATACTGGACACTCGACAAAACCTGAGCAGGCGTTCTTAGTTACATACTGCGTTCCTGGTAATCTATCTAGAGGAGCTCGAGTGCGTCTTCTATCAGTAGCTGAAGCGGTTGCAATCAATGCCAGAAGACTGACTCTTTGTAAACAGAAGAAGTATGTTCAACCTCTATGTTTACCTTGGCATACAATAAGGCCAATAAATCCTCCACGGACATTGGCACTTTAAATTCCTATCGTGATTTTTTCTTTCCTTCTTCTTCTTTTCCTTGGTTTCATTGACAAACGTTCATTTCTGACCTTTTACAACCTCATAACCTATCTTATGATTTTGATTACCTCAAGTTTAAGTAACATTTTCCTAGCTTGTTAGCATATTTGCAAAATCCTGTTCATTTAAATTTACTAGATCCATTATTATTATTATTATTATTATTATTATTATTATTATTATTACTATGTGATAATCGTTCACCTATAATACTTTTAATTTTACGCCACGTCTTTATTATTTCACAATCAATATAATTGTCGTTATTTTCACCCTCGGAACTTACGTCTGGTTTATTTTCTGTAGTATTCCTATTGCCTCACACACCACTGATTACATTCACCCTCGAAACCTGTACTTTTGTTGACTATGTTTGCATATGTGTATACACACCATTAAATTATTTCATCTTATTTTATCTCACGTTCTCACTGACCATGGATATTCAAAACTAACTGACTATTGTTCCATCCCATCTCACACGTATTCCACAATACACTGTCTGATATGATTCTAATTTGCCTTTACTGACTGGCTATTGTATGCTTAAATTAATGGATTTATAATTGTAGAGCCTGAAGAAGAATTGATTGATAATAATTGTTTACTCTAACTATTTTTGTTTTTAGGGCTATTAGTTATTTTTTTTCGAAATCATTTATCTAAATTTCCCTTCGACTGATTTTATCGGACTGTAATGCTCTGTCTTTGTTGACACAATGCTAATCCTATGGCTTGTTTGAGATGGAATTACAACGTAGCAACATTTTAATAGACATTAAGCATTTTTGTCCAATAAGATCAATCAAGGGGAAACAATAATTCCAGCAAATTAGAGATATTTTTACTGAACAGTATCATGACTTCATTTCTGAATACGTCACACTAAGGTTAACAAAACAATCATCACATGTAGACTGTGTGCGTTTGTTTAGGATTGACGTTTGTAGCAATCTCAGTCAAGTTATTTTTTGATGAATGCACAGTTATGATAATAATGTTTGAATCAGGTTTCAAGCCCAAGATTCATTTGAATGAATTGACTTTCAGTCTTTGTTTAGTTGGAATTTGTCGACTGTATTCGATTGGTTTCCAACTTCTCACATAATCTAAAGTGTATGTCATGGCTGTTAAATCTGATAAAATCCTATTTGATTTTCTCTTGTTCTACGGGTTTGAAAAATTTCAACCAGAGCTCTGTGTGCATGTATGTGTACTTGCTAATCAATGAATACTGTAAGTGGCTAAAAGTATATATGATAGGTTACACAATTGAAATACGGGATTATGACGAAAACTTTACTTGCCGAAATTGTCGATTACCGTATAGTTGTTAAATTCTCTATATGAACACATACCTTTAGATACTACATCAGGCGTATGACCAACTGTATACCTGCACTCTTTTTTCTTGTTTAGTCATGTGACTTTGTGGTAGCCTGGTATAGTTTATATGATAAGGATACATAACAGCTTGAAACTTTAGTGACTATCACCAGGGCAAGATTTTCAACAAAGGAATGTAGAGTGATTACCCTCGAAATCTGTACTTTTGTTGACTATGTTTGCATATGTGTATACACACCATTAAATTATTTCATCTTATTTTATCTCACGTTCTCACTGACCATGGATATTCAAAACTAACTGACTATTGTTCCATCCCATCTCACACGTATTCCACAATACACTGTCTGATATGAATCTAATTCGCCTTTACTGGCTGGCTATTGTATGCTTAAATTAATGGATTTGTAATTGTAGAGCCTGAAGAAGAACTGATTGATAATAATTGTTTACGCTTACCATTTTTTCATGAATAAATTATGGGAATATCCAAGCAACTCACTAAATGTTTTTTTTATGTTTCTCACCTCCTCCTTTCCACGTAACTCTTCAACCTGATAGTCTGGATTCACTCCACTACATTTAGCTGTAAAGCATTCACATTTAGATACAGTTAAATATCTACTTTTATCAGGTGCTGATATGAATGCCGCTGGACGCAATGGTTTAACACCTCTACACTTAGCTACACACTATGGATCATTACCTATAGTTGAATTGTTATTAGAAAATAAGGTAAGTTATCAAAAAGTTTGACATTCTGTACTTATTTGTTCAAACTATACCTACTATCTTCAAATGGGATTAGCTTTTAATTTGCTTAGAAAATTATAATAACAGTAGTTAAAATTTATATACCAAAGGTAGCCGTAATTACAGAAATTCTTCTTTTAATGACTCTATGTAAAGAGAAGTAAATTAACTCCTGAGTCGATTTCATTCGTTATTGTTAGGTTAATGTTAGTTAACAGTAAGTTTAACAGTCTATATTGATTACAAACTTAGTCTATGTTTCAATGTAAGTGTTCAAAGAGGAATCATTCATAGTTAGCACAGTGAATGTAATACACATTCCTGATTGCGAATGGTCTAAAAGTAATGTGTCTTGTGTTCAAATTAGGTGATCAGTAATAATACTGCGATACTCTGCAATAAAACGGAAGTTATATCATCCTCATAAGGCTGTATTAATCTATGTCTATTTAAGTTTTATGCCTCATTTTACAACATCTCAGTCGAATACCGAATCAGAGGACAAATACTTGCCGAAGACATCGGCTAAGGGTCGCGCAATGTCATGAATTGGCACGTCAGAATTGATGAGCCGTTGGATCGCGTCCCATTGGCTTAGTGGTATACCAGCTCGCCTTGTAACCAGAATACCCTGGGTTCCAAGCCTGGTGGCGGCAAACTGCTAAAGAGTCCCAAACTGGTAGGACGAAATAGCTGTGCAGTACTCTCCGGTTTTCCAGTGGTGCGATCTTGCGCATTTCCATATTCAATTTAGTGACAGTCACGTGTAAATCTAATGTTAATTTTAGATTTTATTTGTTTAGGTAAGTCGAGTGCTTCATATGATAGGAAATAATTTAATTGGGCAAATGTAAATTCGGGAAGGGAAATGTAAGAATAGTAAGAAATATGAATAAAAGTAGATATTCACAAATGAAAATATACGCAACTGCAGATACACACCCATCGAATCAGATAGGTTATCTGTAAGCTTGGAATTATCATAGCAATTGGGATGTTGGATAAATAAAGAAGTATGAAAGGTTTGCAAACGTTATTACACTTCCAACAACAACAACAACAGTTACTACTATTACTACTACTACCACTATTAATAATAATAAGAAGAATAGTAATGATACTCGCAAATAAATTGACATTTGTCTATCACAACAGAAGTAAAAGGGCGTAACAATACGGTTAATGCATATTTCTGCTTGAGTAAATCCAATGATTCACACACACACACACACATGCAGAGGATAGGCTTTAATTAGTTAGGTAATATGGGTGGGTAGAAACTTGTGTACATTTGTAGGAATGGCGTTGACAGAAAATATAGAAAAGTGGTGAAGACAATGTTAAACTTTGTTTGAAGTTGCTCTGTTAAGAACTTTAAACTATTCATAACTAACAATTGGTGGAAAACAGAATTTTGTATGTTAATATTGAACTAGTAGTTATGTTTAAACTCTTTCATGACACAGGAAAATATTCCATAGTTAAATAAAAAACTTTGATAAGTCATAATCAGTGTACTATCTATACATGCTTTCATTAGAAACTATGTACGGAATATATATTCTTAGACGTCACAAAGAAATAAAGACATTTCATCATGCTACACTATACAGAAAACAATAAAAGGGTGTACCATCTTCTGTTGTTTGTTTTTTGTTTGACATGACAACCAATGAGTGAAATTAGTTTACATTGTTAATTTGGAATAAGCAGTAAACAGTGAAGCCTATTGAGCTTATTTACGTTGAATCAACTAGTTAATCAGAGTGAAATCAACAACACATTAGCTTGTAAATTAAGCCATATTCTCAATAGAAAAACGATAAAAAACAGTAAAACTGCATTCCTAACATGTGATAGTTTGGACAGTTTTCTTTTTAATTTCTTTGCATTCTGAGTGGGACTTAGGGCTTCAAGCTTGAGCTTTGGAGTTTCAGTGTTAGTGATGTTATTTTTACGGGATAGGGTTGCTAGTCTCACGCCAAACCTTCCGTTGTTACAGGGTTTACTACAGGCTGAGCAATGTTTATGAATGCGTCCCTCAGGAGTCTAAGCGAGACATCCTCCCGCTGAACCACAGACGGACAACCCGAACCCTTGTAGGCGTGATTTTTAACGCAAACACTGAGTGATACAGATATGAACTGCTGACGAAAAGTGGGTTCTTTCTGCTGATTAGTATCAATACGCGAGCAGTTTGGTTTCACAGGGCTTCTTGTCTCGGAGTAATATTTTGTCCCATTTTCTGTAACAAGATGTCAGCCTGGAATGAGGTAATCAGAATGTGTATTCAATAGTGAATGGGAGGATGTATTTTTTATTATTTGTATTCCTAATAACCACTGAGCAAACCTATGGTACTTATTTAACTATCTTAAGTGCTATTTACTCATAAAGCCTGTGAAATATCTAGTGGACATTTGACTAGTTAAAATAAAGATTACTACTTCTGCTGTTAGATCACGACTTATGAGTTTGCGCCATCAATAAAAATTAGAGTAAAAATGTGCTATATCACTTGTCTAGTCAAAATGGGCATAACTTAATGTGGAAGCTTCAGTATGTAGTCTTGTGGATATCCTTGTGTTTGTATACCCTGCCGCCGATCTCTAATTCACTGAAGTCGCAGAATTCGGCGAAGAGTTCTCCATTTTCATATATTTCTTGGATAGCTTCTCTAGCCATGATGAGTTCTCTTCCTGTGTCGTCTGGTCGCAGTTTTCTGTTCATTTCTCTTACTAGGATTTTTATGTCCATTGTTGCCTGTAGTTGTCTGTAGAACTCTTTTTTCTTTTCGAGGTGTGCGTTGTTTTTGGATGCATAGCATTGTATAACTGACACTTTCCTTCCTTTGGAGTCGAATCTGGCGGTGATTATCCTAGGCGAGGCCACCTCTTATTGTATGAGGGCCTCTGCTGCTGTAGGTGACATCATGATAACCACACCCTCGGTGTGCATGTGGTTGTCTTTTGCGTGACCAAAGCAGATCATCGAGTCTCGTTGGCAATTGGGTGAGTCGAATCCCATTCTTTCTGCTGTTGCATATTCCTAATACTTGAATGCCGTATCTTTTCATCTCGTTTGCAATCAGGGCAGTTTTGCCAGTCTCGTACGTGGTGCGCACGTTCCATGTCTCCTCATAGACTTTTTCTTTTTTCGCAAGGAGACTCATCATGCTGAAGTTTCTGTAGCAACTTTTTTACAGGATGGGGTTGCTAGCCTCATGTATGAGAAGGAGGTTGTTACTGTGCGTCGGTGGCACAGTGGTTAGGACTCTCGCCGACCATGCACATGGTCCGAGGTTTGATCCCCTGCCGACGCACACCTGATATCTATGGTCGGCCTGCAAAATTTGGGCTACCGATATCCATCCTGAAAATTCCATACTTGTACCAAAAATACAGTGTGGAATCAAGCTGTAACCAAAATTAAATTAAATAAAAAAATAAATTAAAATACAGTTTACAGAAGAGCGACTTTTTGGGTTGCTCCCTTAGAGTCAGGACAACAAGGAATACAGCAATCAGGACAACACAAGCAAAAGGAAAAAAACAACAGGAGGGGCTGCGACAGCTGCAATAAAAAACTGTAGCACTAGTATCACTGTCAAAAAAAGTTGACAAAAATGAAATCAAAACCATAGACTTGGGTCAAATTGAGTCCAACAATATGTACAATTATATATATATATATATATATATATATATATATAACAAGATTATATCCACAGATTCAGTGTTCGAAAGTCAAATAATTACAACAAATTCTACAACTTCTTGTCAAGAAGCGCAAAAGAAATAAGAGTATTATGTAACTGAGCAAATGTAGCGTACAAGTCGAAAAGTGCGTCAAGGTTCGTTCGCAACCACACCAAAACTCACTGATGACGTTTTAAAGACTACTGTTATTAATCATATTAAAATATAATTTTCTCATTGTGTATTTACTCTTTTTCTATATATTCTAGTCGTGTTATTAATAAAATTCTGCGTAAATTCGTCATTCTGCCTTGAATGTTGGTTTCGGTGACCCTTTTCTCCCCTATTTAAAGCACATTAGTCTATAGGGAACATGAATGAATCTATTTCCAAACCATCCATTTTTATGAAGACGCAATAAAGATCCCGTTTCAAATGACTGGCTAACAGTACACTTCTCGAGGTTTCACATGAAAATGTGAGAAGAATATTTGTGTGTTACTATCACACACAGCTATGTATTGAATTCAGTGAGTAACAGTCTCCCCATCCCAGACTGAGGGAGAACAACAACTGCTAGTTCACTCATGATTCTGACTTTTAAGTAACTCAGTAACATGTCTCATGCTGTCAGTCCTATCCACCCCATACTAAAATGAAAGTGGTATAACAGACACAACAAGTAGATTTCTAAAAAATTAAAAGAGTATTGACGTACTAATAGCTAATAATAAACTTTTAGGTTATTTCATTATAGATAAGATTTTATTTTGATAAGTCACACAGTGTTACACAGTAATATTAATTGATGACGTTTCGAGCACAAATTATTGCTCATAATCATATCAAATTACTCACACAACTCTTTTCTTTCATTTATATACGTATGTGGAATTGAATAAATATTTAAATAAAAATCAATATGAGATAATTTATATTCAGAAATAATAATATGACTGTTATTGATCAATCACAATCAGATGGAAAAGAAGACGAGTGTTTTTATAGTCATAATAAGTAACTTGTTGGAATGTTGTAATGTGCTTGAATTGAAATAGAATTTTAAGATTATTTATTATCCTCTCCTGATTTCAAATCAGAATATCTGGTCAATTCCACATATGTATATAAATGAAGGAAAAAGTTGTGTGAGTAGCTTGATATGATTATAAGCAATAATTTGCGCTCGAAACGTTATCAGTTAATGTTACTGTGTAACACTGTGTGACTTATCAAAATAAAATCTTATCCATAATGGAGTTATACTCTACCACAGTGCCCAATTTTTATAATAATATCAATGTTAGGCTATTTAAACACATTAAAATGAATGTGTTCCAAATCTAGTTCACTAATAACCCTATCTTAATAGCATAGAAACATGTCTTAACAATCACCCCTGTCTCTCTATGGGCGCTAATTACACGCTTATATAGTATAGTATATAGTATAGTAACTGAAAAACCAGATGCAGCAAAGATCCGCACTTAAAGATAAGGAGAAGAACAGGGCGAACAAGAAAATGTATTTACTTTTTAACTAGATCATCGGCAATATCTAAAATCTAATACATGGCATTATGTTAATATGATCAATAATGCACCTATCTAGTAATCTTAGATTTGTTAAGATAATCGTTCATCAATATCAATAGGTAAAAAAAAGATTAACTTCATCAATAAACAACAACAAGGGAACAGTTAAGTAATAGAAACACAATTACACTGTAAAATTATGAACACTAAAACATAGTGCATATCTTATCTCATGAAGATTAAGAGTGAATGATAAGTCAGCGCTTAAATTTAACTATGTAAGAATAATTGAGGATGAAAAACAGAAAATTAATAAGACTCTAAATATCCTTCTGTCTGTTATCTACCGAATATTAAATAAAGTACCGAAAATATCCAGGTACCGCATACACCAGACAGCAGAGGCTATCGCGATTCTCGTGAAATAGCCAGTGCTTTGTGTGCAAAAGTAGCAAGTCCAGCCAGCCACTACTGCTAACCTGGTCTTCAGTATAGATTTTAAATTCATAAATTTGTATTATTATCTTTCCTAACTTTTCTGATATTCAGTGTGTAGTGTTATGTTGATGCTAATGAACTGTAATCTATTGATATTATTATTGATTCGATGTTATTTAAACAGCATTAATGTTGGAAATAATCATAGTTTATTATTAGAATAAAGGCGGAGGGGAAATTGCCAATAATCTATCACTCAGCAAATATGCAGAAGGAAATCTAGACAGATTTGACACAAACTGAGGAGATTACTGAGTGGTCTCACATGCCAGGCCCTAAATGGGAAGCATCAAGTTAGGTGTCGCTTCGAGAGTGACATGGAGGAGATAGTGTTAGGAGAAAATGAAAGCTTATAGCTTATAGCCAGCTAAAAACCGTATGTAGAGAACAAAGTAAAATGCAGATGTGCTGCTAAGACCCGATATTCCACTCGGAACCTTATAGAGTAATAATATATATTTTGGGCTATGCAGATAACCAATATGAAATAGGTGACTGTATAAATCTTTTCTGATCTCACAGGTTTGCTTTTCTGAGGTGAATTCTGATGACTTTCACTATGTGTAAAAGACGAACACGTAAAGTAAAATTAAGCTCATGTATTGGTTTGTGGGGATTTGATTGATTTCAGGATTTCATCGTGAAGTGACATATGTCAGAGGACCTTTGGAAAACGTGGGAGTGCTGGACAGCCGTTTCGTCAGCCTAGTCTGGGACTCTTCACGAGTACGCTTATTAAGAATGTGATGAATAAGTCAAAAGGGCTTTGTCAGTAATACGTCTGTCTTGAATATCTGTAAGATGTTTTTCTGTGAATCAACTCCGTCACTGACCTAACCAAGTAGAATGATGTTGCGATGCCTTGTTTATTCATAAAGGCAGTCAGGTGTAGTCGATAGGCATCTCAGATATTTACTTTGGTATGCATCTCTTATTCAATTAACGTTCATGTAACAGCATAATAAAGTAGAAGAGTAAGGCAATATTCATAGGTCGACAATCTATCAGTTTAAATTTCTGCCTAATATTACAAAAAAATGAATAACTAGAAGAACTATGTAGCTTTCAATTTTCCTTCTGTTTATTTGTCGTACTTCTTTTTTAGGCATCTCCGGTTTCTCAGGCTAAAAATGGTTTCATCCCACTGCATATAGCAGCTGAGAAGCATTTAGTTGATATTGCTAAACTACTGATTGCAGCTACTGGTGATAACAAAACTAAAAATGAGGGTCAAAATAACGATATTAATGGATGTTGTAATATACAATCACGTAATGGTTTTACACCGCTACACTTAGCGTGTCAAGATGGTAATGAAAAAATGACAAAGTTATTGATAGATTCAGGAGCTAAGGTTAATGCTTTAGCTAAAGTAAGTTCTTGTTTTTAATAATATGAGTCTATTCATTATTTATCACAAGTATTTCTTTATTACTTTTTTTCTTTACCTTATCAACATGATTGAAATTTAACAGTGTGAAATATTTCCATATAGTGGATCACAAGTCGATCTAAACGAAGGATATTCTTTTCAATGAATTCTCTTCAGGTTATTGGAGTTGTAAAATAATAATAATATTCTTTATCTTAACAATAATAGCCAGTTACGCCGCGAATGCATTTTTACGAAGAATAACAGATAAATATGCCTAGTTATAGAGTGATAAAATAAATATCATTTGTGTGACGAACGTGTTGAGTTGAATGCAGTTGCAAATGCGAGACGATAATGATGGAAATTAGTCACGAATGTCAGATTCATACGATGTGGGGAAGGAAAATTGACAAGTTAGTTCAATGTTGTAAAATGCATTAAGTGAGTACGTGTCAAAAAGGAGAAAATAAGACTGTAGACTGTGTAAAACTTCGTCAATCTGGTAGTTTGTAATTCCATATTAATTTGTTTATTAGATGTATCACAGTAAAACAGTATCACATACTGGATGATGTTACGAACACAATTTACTATTCGTAATCATATCAGTTGTAATCACACGACTTCGAAAGTTGTTTTTTATTCTTTCCTACTTGTCGTAGGGGTAGCAGAATCTTCTCCCTATAGTATTAATCTATTACCTATGACTAATCAGCATCAGTGTCTCCCACTTCCTCATCCACACCCACTTTTAATATGATTGAAATGTAGCAACTACAGTTAAAATCTTGAGTCTACAATTAAGTTCGTACGGAGGAATTTTGATCGGTCGAATTTTAGACTAGTTGTCTGGCCCATTTGATACTAATTTTGAATATTTTATTTTGGGGAAGGAAAATCTGAAATCCATATTAGCTTTAAAAAATGTATTATCATTATTGAATTGAATTTTTGATTTTCCCGTCGATTGATTGGACCGAAGTGCTCGGTCTCAGGTTGACATGACAATTCAATAATTAATATGACCCGTTGCACAAGAGGTGGCTCTCGTGGCCTAAGTGGTCTAGTGGATAACGCTTTGGCGTTTGAAACTATGGGCACTGGGTTCGAGCCTCGGTGGGAACATCATCACTCACTGAGAAAGGCAGGTACATCCAGATGACGAGTCCCAATTAGGACGAAATGCGCTTTATCCTGGATTCCACTGCTAGCCACCATCCACCAATTGTATACAAATGTATTATCATGTTTGTCACATGCGAATTGGCGTCTTTTCCATATGAGAAATAACATACACTCACACACACTCGTACAAAACTAATTCTTACAAACCAACTATAGGAAAAAAATATGTATACATAATTACAATTTGACATTACTCACTACTCATATGATGACTGCTTACATATCTCTGTTGATACGAATATCTATAGGAAAGTTACCTTCAAATAAAGTGACTTCAATTTATGTACAAAAATTTTGACCATATATTTTAATGATAAATAAAACCCGAATAAGTCCACTGAAGAAGCTGTAGCTTACACAGCGAAACGTTCAGATAAATCTTGTTTCGATTTTTTCTTAAATACGCTGGGATTGGTTTAAATAATTTATAGTGAATCCATATTAGTTCGTTTATTAGATGTATTTTCTATAGTTTGGTTTGTAAGGATTAGTTATGTTTTACGAGTTGATCACGGATTGATATCAGTTAGAGAACCATTGAAAACCAGGGAGTACTGGGCAGCTGTTTCATTCTAGTTTGGGAATCATCGGCAGTACGCACCCACTAGGATTCGAACCCAGGACCTTCCGGTTACAAGGCAAGCTCGTGTACCATTCAGCCACTGGGACCCAATTCAATGAAACAGTGTTCTTTACTGGATGACGTATAGAACAAAATTTATTATTCATTATCATATTAATTATAATCACACGACTTCAAAACTTGAGTTTTACAGTCAACTTGGTTCCCTCCTATTTGTCGTAGGGGTAGTAGGATTTTCCAGATATCTGGGACAGGTGTTGAATCATTCCTATTACACTTATTTGCAGTTGATTCGATAAACAAAGCTTTTGTTATCAATCTCTCCTTATACCCTGTGACATTAGATTTGAAAACTGTCATCCTATCCCATCCTACTGTATGGTTGTGTGTTATTGCATGTAGTGCTATAGCTGAACTATTCTCTAGATTTCTTATCTTATTCGGGTCAACTAATCTAGATTTTGCGACGTTTTTATGCTATAATGAAGAAAAAGTGGTTAGTTTTGACATTGTCAATTTATATACACATATGCCGATAAATATGTCTCTAGAGGCAGTCAGATCAAACTCATTTCTGACCAAGAACTCGAACTAAGGACAATAGTGCCACTTGGAGACTTGGTGGATTCCTAGTTAGCAAAAGATCGGATGATTAGTGGTTTCTGAATTTAAGTGCATATGCAACTGCAAAATTTTACTTGAAGAACACCGTTATAACAACAATAATCTACTTGAACTATTTGGCAGTCTCAGACAACTTATAATTTACTTGAAATCTCTTGAAAATTATGCACAACATGATTGTGTACTGTAAAAAATCCTTTTGAATTGACTGAAGGCTGTCCACTGGTGATATGTATCCACATATATATATTTATGTGTGTGTGCATGTTGGTCTCTCTTTCTGTTTGCTCGGTTAGTCTGTGACCACTTCACTTGTATGGATTTGTCTCCTTTATTAATGTGTATTCTCCTTATATTATATTATATATAATATGAGTGTTTGTTGACAGTCCGTTGCTTGGTGACATATATCCATATATGTTTGTTGGCATGTCTGCTATATTCGCTATGTATAATTGGATCGACACTCCATTATAATTAGCCATTCATGTTAAGACTGTCTAATGATTCTTCCCACGCTTGTCTGAATTATTCATATATATTCGCATTCACAATTTGTGTGAACTACTTTACTTTACAACTACTTTACTTACTTACCACTTTGGTGTGAGACCATTTATTTTCGTCTCCTTGTGTTTGGACAATAGAAGTATCATCGCAAACCTAGTGGTCTTCTGATTTCCGCCTTCTCGCGTCAGGACTATTAATTTCTCGACCAGTCCATAACAATAATTCAGCGACGAGTACATAACAACTGGAAACTTCAAAAGACTCAGATTAGTAGACGAAGAACGTCAACGTTTTTGATTTAAATCACAACCATCCACCTGAGCTGCAAATGTCAAAGCGTATTCCATTCGCTAACTTCATCATCAGGCTTTGCAGTTGTATATCCATAGTAGATAAAGAATTATTGTTACTGACAATATTAGCATTTTTGGTTTAATAACACCGAATCTTTTACATCGAAATTCCGAGAGGTATACACGAATAGATTCCTAATAGATTATCAGTGGGGACATCATCACTCAATGCGGAACGCAGGTACATCCAGTGACTAGTCCCAAATAGGACGAAATGCGCGTCCTGGATTCCACTGCTAGTCACCATCCATCAATAGCTGAATAAAGCAAATATAAGGTTTTTTAAACAAGTGCAATAAGAAGGGGTGGAGAAAATTTATGCACACAATTCGGAAAGTCATAACTAAAGGTGCGATGTTATAAAATATTTACGAATTTATAGATTCCGCAGGAGGCCAGGTTAGTGGTAGTGGTTGAACCTGTTTCTTTTGCCTGTGAAGTTCCTGTTGGTTTAAGTAAATTACAATAGCCTCTGCCGTTTAGAGGCAGAGTATTCTGTACCTATAGACTTTTAGCAATTTATTTGATACCCGGCAGATGATAGAAAAAGATTTTTTATGTCTTGTTTGGACCATGTGATCTAATATCGAACTACAACTTTATTTAGCCACACTGGTGGGTATTCTAAAGCACGAATAGCTAAGTTCCTAAGGTAATGGCCTCTATAACTGACTCCCCAAGAGTAGTGTAATTGATAGAAACAAGAAGAGGTGTCTAATCTAGGTACTTCGTCTTTCAGTCGAGAAATCACAACCGGTTGTGTGAAAAATATGGCCTGCAGTTTACTGGCACTGTAAGTTCTTCGAATAGATTTCTGCAACTCGGTTGTTATTTCTCTTGGTACGTCACCTTCGAATTGCAGTTGCATCTAGAGAGGCTTTTTGTTCACAAATAAATAACAGCGTTTTTTGACTTTCCTGCCCATGTGTTTCCTTTTGAATTAAGGTGTCATATACGGTCTTAATTTCATCTCTTATCACATCTGAACACTTAGCTCTGATCCTGCAGCTGAGTTTTCTTACCAAATTTCTTTTGTAGTGGAGAGGCAGGAAACTATGGAAATGTGAATGCTGTCTTGGCCAAGTAGTTATTTATGCACATTTCTTCTTATGTCACCATTCTTGTTTTCTTGTTGCAAGGACATCAAAGAAGACAATTTTTTCTTATGGATTCTTCTACACATATGAAATCGATTTTATTTATGTGATGTTATTTGAAACAGTAAAGTTGTTAGTAATATTAACTCTTCAACTAATGCTGATATATAGCTTCAGAACCTGATGGAAAATTATGGAAAAAAATATTCTTTGTTCACTAATCAGTATTTTAGAAATTGCTCTTGAATTCATTGTAAGTAATAAGTTTATTATATCCTACTGACTATTTGACGGTAATGATTTTTTAAGAACTAACCTTTTACTGTGCGTCGGTGGCACAGCGGTCAGGACGCTCGCCGACCATGCACATGGTCCGGGATTCAATCCCCAACCGACGCACTCCTTTACCTCGCTAAGCCAGAAATAATGCTGGTAAAGAGGAAAGGTTGGGCATGAGGCTAGCAACCCCATCCTGTAAAAATCAAACACTGATACAGAAACTTCAAGCCACTAGCTTGAGGCCCTATGTTCCACTGGGAACGTGAAGGAAAAGAAAAAACCTTTTACTGAAGAGACTGTTTCTGAAAATTCGTTCTCATAGTTGTACAGTCTGTCAAACACAGCAAAAAGGGATAGAAAGTAGAAATAAATTAATTTCGCATATTGTGTGCATCATCAAAATATTTCGAAATAGCGAAGTTACTCAAATCGTAACCGAGACTATGAACATTCGTGATTTCAAGTTATAGGTCTAGTATTATACGAAACGTTCGGAAACAATTCGGGTATTAGCGGAAAGACCATAGACACAGGTATCAAAACATATTGTGTAAGTGGTAAGCAGGGTGAACGAAAAGCTGGTAAAGGAAATGACGCTAACAGATCCATAATGATTTGTTTATCAGATGTATACGTATTTAAGATCTCAGGTTTTCCGCCTATATCTTTTGTCCACGGATAAAGCTCTTGCTATACGCAAGGAAATCACTAAACTGTGTGTACAGAAGCTATTTGTTAAGTCCAATTTAATTCTCTAGCCTTAAACCTTTTTTAGCTTGTACATTAATTCGTTGTTTGTCTTCTTTATTTCCAGTGTCCTTACTACAAAATATATTTTACACATATTCTGAATCTCTTACTCTTAATATGAACAATATTCTTGTTTCCCAGTAAAATTACTATAAGAATATGCCTGACTAATATGTCTTTTCAGTTTGAATTCTTTGATTCCTTTTTAATGAGGATTAGTCTTTGGATTGTTGTTTAACACTTATCGAATGCACTAACAAAGTTTTCTTTTTTCACACAACAGAACAGCTTTTCCGTGATTTGAACAAGTAATCAACACTGTAACTAGCAGTAACAATTTTTGTTTTCTTCCCTTAAGTAACAAGCTTTTTAAAGAAGCTAAATAGCCATCAGTATAGTAAGTAAATTCTTTTAGGACGGATCAGAAAATTTTACAGTATAGATAAGCTAACGATCTCACATAAGAGATTTGTCATAACGAGAATTTTTTAGACATAAAGCCTCTAATTTTTACCGTTAAATCCCTGATTTTAAAGCGGAAGTGAATGTTTTTTTCTCAGCTTACTAATATACCCCTTTGATTATTGTCAGTAAGGAGGAGGAGGAGGAGGAGACGTAAACTAAGCTAATCAACTCTAACATAATTACCTACTGAATTTCACAAAACACACTGTTTTGTTGATTCAAAGAACTTGTGTTCTCATGAAAATGTTATCTTAGATTATGAAGTCGCATGCAGCTAGTCAGTGATTTTGTAAAAATACCCTTATATTTGAAGAAAACATATTTGACTTCATAGCTTTCTTTGATTAAGTGAAGCAACAACTTCCAGTTTTTGACTGTTATTTCATTCTCTCTTTCATTCCTTATAGAACGGCCTTACAGCTATGCATTTAGCAGCTCAGGAGGATAGTGTTAAAGCTGCGGATTTACTGTTTGCTGCTGGTTCTGAATTAGATGTTAAAACAAAAGCAGGTTATACACCTTTGCATACAGCCTGTCATTTTGGTCAAGTAAGTTAAAATGTCTATAATGATGGTAATTTTTTGTAATGTCTACTGGCGTTTTACACAAGAGTGAAACAGATTCTATTTAATTGTTTTGAAACAAATTTTTTATTTTGAATACACTAAACGAAATTTGCTCTAAATAATTCATTCATTCTATCTGTCATCACTCGACAGTATTTTTATATCTATTCAGTTGGAGAAATAAGGTAGACATCTAATTTCACCTATGAAATGGGCCTGATTAACAGTTTATATTCAGCGAGCTGGGACCCTGGCTGGTGTGTTGACTGTTTGAAACTGAATGAGGAATTTGGATCCAACTTAGCGGTATGAGTAACACGAAAGCTTCATTAAGATTTAAGCCTTTGTTGTGATCCATTACGAGATGCATGAATACGCACATTTCTTCCTAAATTGCACTAGAATTATATCATATTCTCCTAAAATATCTTCCGAAGTACAGATACCATCTTTATGACAAAAAATTATTACCCAGTTCAATAAAATGAAAGAAATCCTTTTGTAATGAAGAATAAACATTTTTTGAATAGATAATATATTATGTATATATAGCTCTTACCATTGTTTCAATGAAAACTTAGCTGTACTGTTTAACTTGACTGAATCTTTCACCTAAAGTAAGAATGAAATTTAGGCGCCAAGAGATAAATTACCTTTGAAAACCAATGGGTTAAGACTTCATCCCAAATGAGATCAGTTGCATAATTTATAATGCATGGTGATGATGCTCAAAATCATCAAGATTTAAAATTTGCGGCATTCAAGGGAACATATTATATTTATGGGCTAATAATGGTTTTGAAAATGATAGGGATCTTAGCAAACTAACGAAAGCCTTCTAACAAGGTGAAACACAGCTTGCTGTCCCTGTGGTTGTCGCGTATGCCACAGATAGGTAGATTTCATAAGGTTTTAATTTTTCGTAATCACTCAATAGCCAGCTCACTTTTTTATTCCTCTTTCTTGCAGGTTAATATGGTCCGATTTCTTTTAGGTAAGGGTGCTGATGTGAATGCTGTTACATGCATGGGATCAAATGCTTTACATTTGGCTGCACAACAAGGCCATTCCACAGTTATATACGTTCTGCTAGAAAGCGGTGCCAACCCAAATATGCGTAATAAGGTAATTGATCATTTCGAACTGAAACATTCGCGCCCACTTATCATTTAATGTTAAGTGGCATTAATTATTTTTTTATCAGCAAGTTATGTTAATCTAATGACCGACTAAAGAAAATTACAAAATACTTAATGACACTCATCCTGCTCCTAGAAAACTCATTCACAATAATCAAACCCAGATGTTGTTAACTTACTCTTTAGATTCGGAAAATATTTCCAGTGGTGCCAATACAACAACAAAAAATGTAAATTTGAAATGTCGAGCTGACTATAATTTTCGAAAAAAGAATTGGAATGCATCACATATTAGAAAACTTACAACCACTCATCATCATAACAATAAAAACAATAGCCCATTAACTCCAAAAACGATTCAATCCAAGGCAGTCATTCACCAAAAAAGGCATTTATTATAATAAACCTGATCAGATCAGATTTCAAGTTAATCAAATTAAAGGATATCATAGATCACCGTACATGCATTCACCAAAACTAAAAAACAGACTTCCAAAAGTAGCTATCGCATGCAAAGAGATTGAGCGTCACAGAAACTCATTTTTCTGCTTCCAAGGCTCATAACACCAAGCGTCTATATCATACTCAACGTTTCTTTCTATGTCTCCAGATTCTAACCACAGTAGCAGAAGAAGATTTCTGTTATCATCTTTAACGGAATTTGAGTTATTTTTTAAGGATTCCTTCAACCTATTATTGTAAATGATTTCTAAAAGATGGATCATGGGGAACTAGACGGTACGACCTGATAAAAGGTATAAAGATAATTAGTGACAGTGTAAAAACATGTTTACTCACTAATATAAGGGGTGAAACAAATAGTAAACATCAAGCGTCAACATAAGTCTTAAAAAATGAATTGAAGATTGACCACTTATTGACTTAAGGTAGAGAAGCATTGGAATCCAAGGGATACTGATTAGCTGATTTATCCTAGTTTCGCACTCTTCATTGTACGCACACATGATCCCGCCGAGGATCAAATCCGGAACTTTCAGGTTACGGAGCGAACTTGTTGACCATCCAGCTGCTGGGATGGAATACAATGGCTCGTCAATTGCAACTTCTGCCAACTAGTGATATATAGTGCGGCCTCCAACCACTGTCATCGATAAGATTGGCCTATTAGTATACGAGCTCGCTTTGTAACCTGAAAGTTCTGGGTTTGATCCACAGTGGGATCATGTGTGAGTACTACTAGAGTGTCCCAAACCAGGATTAGACAGTTTTCCAATACTCCTCGGATTACAATGGTTGTCTAACTGAAGTTAGTTCGTGATCATTCTTGAGATCAATCAAATCCCCACAAACCAACACTTGTAAACCGATTATTGTTGCTGTTATACAGCAGGAAATCTTGATGACTAATGAGTTATACATGGTATTATGGTACATAAAGTTTATATGCATATTTAGGTTCTGTCAAATCTTCCAATCTCTACTAACATCTTTCACTTCATTATCTGAAATGGATATTAAAGTTATTGAAGGTGGTAATTCTCTCATGAAGCTATTTGTATTCATTTACAAAAGCTTTTATACAAGAACAAATTATATAGATAGAGTTTTTCGAGTATTGGTTTTTAGAGGGATTTTGTTTGATTGGTTGAAAGATTTCATCATGATCTGGCATCAGTTAGAGAACCATTGGAAAACCTGGGAGTACTGGACAGCTGTTTCGTCCTACTAGTTTGGAACCCTTCATGAGTACGCACCCACCGGGGCTCAGATCTAGGACCTTCTGGTTACAAGGCGAGCTCGTAGACAATTAAGCCCCTGAGACCCTATCCAACGGCCCATGAATTCTAACTTCTGCCGATTCATGACATAGCGCGACCACTTCGCAATGTCTTCTTCAATGAGTTACTGCTTCGCCTTCTACTTGTTGCACCCTACTGGTCACGGCTTCACACTAAAACCCCAGGTAGATAGATTTGTCATTCCATTTGTAGACATGTTTGTGTTGATTATATTTACTTTCTAATTCAAACACATTTTTATATGTATCGAGGTGAAAAGAATGTTTCAGAAAATGAATAAAAGTTTTAAAAATGTTCAGTTGATCACGTTTATTCCTGTATGATATTTCTGAAATGGACATAGTAGATAATAATATGTGTGTATGTGTATGTATGCATGGTGTAGCCTTTCTAAGTGTACTTTAAACTTAGTGCTTTATTGCCACTTTTTGGAGTGTTTATGTTCACAATATGATCATAAAGGTTAAGTAAGAAAAGAAGGAATTGTAAAAGGTCTTTGTTGTGTTTACCATTGTAGATCTTACATCCAACTTGATTAAGCTCAGTACTTGAAAGTTTGACACATAACCTACTGTAATTATGCAGATTTATCATTCAGATCAATCTGCTATAAAGTTATATATAATATGCTGTTTTATAACACAAACTATCTCATGAATAAATAAAAAATAATGTGTGATGTGCTATGGCTAAAGGTAAAACGAAACTGATTCTCTGCAGGATTCTAAACACAGACTCCCGAATTACTAGTCCAGTGCTGAACTGAACTACTTAACCATTTCGTCATTTTACTGCTATCCCCTCACTGATTTTCATGCATAAATTGTACCATAGATGTGTATCAATCTGTTGAATAATAATCTGATTTGAAAGCTTAATTGTTTCACTACAAAGCAAAATTCTTTTAATTGCTATTAGTAAACTTGAATATTGTATAGCTTGAAATGTTAGACTTCTGCATAAGCATTCATATCATTTTCTTTGTTTACTTCCTATTGTTACTTGGTTAAGAAAATTCCTAAACCGCATAGTATATGTATGATTTATAGTTGCTTTCACAAATTTCTTGAGTGACAGTTAGGAATTCACGGGTCATTGGATTTTAGTCCATTGGATAAATGGTAAACAGGACCCCGTTCATGATCTGAGGGACCTGAGTTCACTCCCTGGTAGTGTCTTGGTTGCTCATTGCTAAAGAGTCACAAACTACGGTGAAGCAGTTGTCCTGTGATCCTATAACTTATGCTAGCTTGTGAAGAAATCTACACGGAGACGTTTCAAATTTGGATGAATGCAACGACTAGAATGATATTGAAAACATCATAAAAGACCACTAGGTAGAATAACAAATATATCCAAATGTTTACAATTTGACTCATCCTCGTTTTCCGCTATTTCAAAGTTAAAAGTAATGACATGTTTAAAGACTCAGGAGATTATGACATTGTTATTTAGGAACACTATATATTCATATACTGCTTTCCTTTCAGAAAGATAAATCGAGCGTGCCACTCTCTGTAATATATTTCCATCGAGATCCAATTCTACAGAGACATCATTTCATTAGAGAAATTCAGAAGACGTATAAAACGATTTCTCTTTCAGTCTTGTCAGCATGTTCACGTAACATTGATTAAGGGAACAGAAACACCCTGTTAAAAACAAATAGTCTTGACTATTGGTCCGTTTATCAGAAAGTATTCAAGTGTTAGCTTGTACACTCTTGCTTGATTGCAAGTTTGATGACGGATTGATATCAATTAGAGAAGCAAATCGTTTCTGTGCTTTCAACGTTTATTTTACCAAGCGTCTATATCATACTCAACGTTTCTTTCTACGTCTCCAGATTCTAACCACAGTAGCAGAAGAAGATTTCTGTTATCATCTTTAACGGAATTTGAGTTATTTTTTAAGGATTCCTTCAATCTATTATTGTAAATGTTGAATTGAATTTTTGATTTTCCCGTCGATTGATTGGACCGAAGTGCTCGGTCTTAGGGTGACATGTCGGCTTCTTGTGCAGTTGCTTCGACGATGTCTGGGCATTTAATTAGTATACAATTGGTGGATGGTGGCTAGCAGTGCGCATTTCGTCCTATTTGGGATCCATCATCTGGAACGTCATCACTCAGGTACATCCAGATGACGAGTCCCGAATAGGACGAAATGAGCATCCTGGATTCCACTGCTAGCCGCCATCCACCAATTGTATATTATTGTAAATGATTTCTAAAGGATGGATCATGGGGAACTAAACGGTACGACCTGATAAAAGGTGACAGTGTAAAAACATGTTTACTCACTAATATAAGGGGTAAAACAAATATTTAACACCAAAGCGTGTAAAAATTAGTTGACTGAAATCATGAAACTATCAGTCATAACTGCAGTTTACGGGAACTAATTATTAGGATGGCTATTAGAAATTGAAAAAAAAACTGAAGGGTGAACTACCAGTGCATAGGAGGGCGAATTTCGCAACTATCGACGGCAGGCCGGGTGTATTTTACTTTGGGAAAATTCCATAATCTTGATTTGTATATTCCCATGGGTCTGAGTTCATCACATAAAGTAGGATTAAGTATCATTTCTTCTCTTAGAACCTTCAAATGTCTAGTATTTTCATTCTCTATTTTATAATTTAAATTTTTCTCTCCTACAGTTTTTGAAACTTCTGTTTTTAACTCAGTCTCTCTAATCAGTCTTTTGATTATAGGGAATTCAACAGTGTAATACGTAACACGAAAACAAAAGATGCACATCAATCTCGTGTTGTTTAGACTACTGATATCAGTGTAAATCCAGCTCATAAATTTCAGTTGAAGAATTCATAAACTGCATTATTGAGCTCCAACTAATGTCCTCATATACATCTGTCACTCCTATGTAAGATGAGTTCTGACCCCATTAGCTGAAGAGTAAAGTTGTTTACTTCGGCACTGAGTAACAGATTTGAATCTTGAAGGGATCATGAGTTTTCTAGAGTTTTGAGATATACGTTATGTATGAGTGTCGACAAGCATAGGATCAGATAGAACATGGCATCTCAACGACGGAATTTTAGTATCTAACTATAGAGCGTGCATTCTACTGATTAAACAGACGAATATCCTATTTATTTGGAAGATGGTGACTAGCAGTGGGATTCAGGATCCTTATTTCATTCTATTAGGTGCCCGTCAACTGAATGTATCTGCTATTCCCAGTGTCTGAAGATATTACCGAGTTCAAAATAGTACTAAATGGGTATTCTGTTATTCACCATCGACAAAATAGCATCAGTCTTCATTATAGATAAGATTTTATTTTGATAAATCACACAATGTTATGCAATAATATTAACTAAATATGTTTCGATCACAAACTATCGCTCATAATCATATGGAGTTATACTCTACCACAGTGCCCAAGTTTTATACTTATATCAAAATAGCATCACGTTATTCTTCAGATATTGTCGAACCGTCCGTACGAAGCATTTTAGTCCGATACAATCAATCAAAAGGAAATACAAAACTAACCTAAATATACTATTTGGCTTATTTCGAAGTATCAAACAAATGCGTTTTTCCGCGAATGAAAATTTAAAATCATATTTTATTTCATTTTGTCCTTAATTTATCGCTTCAATGTGTTAACTTATTTCAACGTAAGATCACGACAGTATCATTAGGGCTTAAAGAATTTTGTGGACTTGAAGGAGTAAACTTATTGTTTTCCGTACTATATATGTGAGAGTATTTCATCAGTCTAAGGTTAGTGTATTAGGAAATATTTTGTAGAATAGCTAAGATGTTTTCCTTGAGAAGTTCTGGCTTCTGTAGTCCTCTGAAATTGATTTGGATGAAGTAGATCTGAGAGTGAATTATTCTAGATATAAGTTTCAGAAGTAGTATTTTCAAACTCGACAATAAACTGCATGGAATTATACTTGTATTTCATGAATTTGGGAAAGGATGCATTGAGCAGACAAAAATACGTTAAATTAATGGTGTCCTTCCTGCTAGCATCAGTACTATATATAACAATTTGTAATACGGTTAAATCTTATATTTTTGAAATCATACTCGAGCAGTTTGAGTAACTGGTAAGTTTTAAAACTTAATAGAGAATATAACAACAATTAATTTTATTTCTTTAATAACATATTCACTATTATAGTACTGCATAAGTTCCTCATCCGATGTTTTTATAACACCTATAGTATGGCTGGACACCAGCTCACGTCGCTCGTCATCAGCACTATTTAAATATATTCGAAGCACTGCGTCAGGTGACCACCTGTGTAGAATCGTGGGAGAATGAAAATACTGATGAATTACCAATGAGTGCAGAATTAAATGCATCCATCATTTCTGGTCAAGAGCATACTTCGTCGCTAAATAGACAACAGTATACATCATCAAATCGACTTGGTCTTGAGCATCCAGATATGATGAGAGATAATCCAATTACAGATACTGAAGAAGAATGTGGTAAGCTACATAGTTTCACTTTCATATAACTTGAATTAATGTATTACATTTTCTATATAGGAAGATAATATATAGTGTTTAACATTAACTTGTTAGACCCTGGTGACTATTCGATTCATTTATTACAGTTGTAGTGGCAAGTTATTTCGGTTCCCAAATAACTCAGTGGTAACGTTTCTGATTGTAGCACTAGGCGATGCTAGTTCATATCTCCATGGAGCTAACATTTCATCCAAGGTTGCAGATATGAGCTGCCTACATATGCCAGTTAAGATGGAACCCAATTTCCAAGGCTTTTCGGCAGATTACATTCGATCGCCCAACAACTAGTATTTAAGTCTAATTATCACTGATGACTAATTCATTAAATTTTTGTTTGGTTTCGGAATACATCATGTGCAGACATCGGTTTGTTTCATTCACTTTATCACCCCTGCATAACTTGGTTAAAGGAAATCATTAGTTTTTGCAGAATAAAATGGTATATATATATATATAAACTGTATGAATAACCTAACTGATAGCATTCAGAATGTATTAATCCAGATGGTTTAATTGTCTCACATCGAAATTAATGAAATATGATTATATCAGATATGTTTGAAATATACTCACATAATATTTCTTTGTGTTTTGCAAATTTTAAGTGATTTTTGGAATTATTTACCTTTTCAACATTTCGAGATAGATTTAGGCCTTTCTTGTGAATTTATAATAAAAAGGTGCTACATTGTAGTGTAGAGGTGTTGATCATGGAATCAAGTGAAAATGATCACTTGTTTGTTCCTTAGTTTTCTAATAACAAGAATTTTCACTTCAAACAAATTTTTCGGTGGTCAACAACTATTGAGTTCGCTTGTTATATCCTAGACTATTAAGAAACACTAGTAAAGAGTGTATTGGGATTGTTGCATTAAATGATACGACATACTTCACAGAAAGTTTTTGGTTAACATATTTACCTTGATAAGCAGCTATATTGTCGATCATCATCGACTCACACAAGGGGGAAGTTATGCTACGAACAACCTAGTTCAAAAGCCACTAAATGTCATGTCGGTGATAGTCTAATAATACTACTGATTTGTGGGTTCCATACTAGTATGGATAACCGACCACATCTGATCTCCAGGGCCCATGGAAGTGAAAATAGAAAACAGACTAGTACGTGCCGGTGAGAACAATCTGACTTTTTTCATACTAAAATACACTATATAATAAATATTATGCACCTCAAACAGTCAAGCTAATAATTAAGCAATTATACTTTGATTGGACACTAGTAACTAGTGTGACGTGTCTAGTCCTTTCTTTGGTGCACACTGAATTCTGTCAGTCAGGTTTGCAATGTGGCCACCAGTCTAGGTAGCTTGCCATCACGGAGCACATTGATTTGATGATATTAGATAGTTGGAGGCAATCGGCAGGAATCCTTGGATCTAGATTTCGTGCTAACTGGCATTCTTCAGAAAGGTTTATCTGCAAACTTTAAGGAACTCATGTCCCTTCTGAGATTCGAACCCACGTCAGAGACGTTGGTTGAAGAAGGTTGAAATTCTGGGTTGTTTGGTTGCGTTGTAGTAAATGTCCTGTCACGGCCCAGTGGTTTAATCCGTGTATTCTGGTGTCATCTTGTCTAAGTCTGTTTCCACTGCCATGGGCTTGTTTGAGGTGTTCTTAACCATTTCCTATCACTTACTTTGGGGCTGCATGATTTCTCTGAATAGAGGATGTGCTTTCTCCAGTCTCCAGAAACATCATACCGGTTAGAATAGGTCATCTGACTTCTAAAGTTTTATACAATAACAGCGGCTCAGGTTTGTTCGTTGAATTTACCCTGACTGACCTACATAACTAGTGGATTTATTATTTAGTATTCTCTTTCGACTTGTTAATTCATTATTCACCTTTGTTAACATACTTAAAATCTGTGAATGGTTGAGGAAGCTTTTCAGCCTAGTACAGGTTCCAACAAAATTATATATCTTGTTCTGAAATTTGTGTATCAATAAGTTTATCCAATAAAATGTCACATCTTCCGGATGACCAACGACCATATCACCATCATTCACTGTTTCTTTATCCCTTCAGAAATATCCTGCTTACTATTTAAAAATGTAAATAAGTTTGTGGATTGAGTCTTAATCTGTCTTCATTTTCTGATGAGTTATTCGTTCGTAAATGATATGTAGATCATATTTGCTTCCATAGGATCATCAGCAGGTCGTTTACACAATTCATCTTCGTGGAAGTATCTACTGTGAAATATTATGTGTAAACTTGATCTTCAGCATTTCAGTCAAAAAAAATCATTACCAATAAGATATTTGGTCTGAAATTGTCTATTTGTTCTATCGCTTTATCTGTCTGGAGAATATTGAGTGACTCTGGCAGCCGTAACTTAAACAAACATGAATATAGATAATAGTTTTTGGTCGACAGCCTGATGAATTTTCTGATTCGACTTATTTTTATTTCTTTATCCAGTTGAACCCGATTTCACTGTTATGCCATCTTCACCCTTATTTTCACGTGTACAAAGTAGACAAAGTATTGGGCAACAATATTCCCAGCGTCCTCACCATCCTCATCATCATCTGCAACAACAAAATCATCAAAATAATTTTGATTATAAATTGTCAGATGAACATTATGGACATCGAGGTGCTATAAACCATGTGAAAATAGCTCCAGATAAATTATCTAATGTTTCAGGTATGTATTATGTGTGTGTGTGTGTGCATGTATCCGTCTTCAACGGTTCACCCTGGTTCAACCAAGCATATGCGTGTTTCTCAAGGCTATTGAGTTTCTTTATAATGTCGTTTGATTATCTCTTAAGCGTTCGGCACATTACTTAAATTTAAGAACTTTAGTCTGAAAACCGTAGCAGTCAACCACACAGTAATGCAAATGTGATTGGGAACTGTGGGATTGTGTCACTTGTAGGCACACAACTTTTCTTTTGCATAAAACGTAGGAGAGCCATGGGGAGTAATTGTTACTTAATAAGGATATTTGTCACCATTTTCAAACTACTGGCCGATATTCCTGCAGTATACCTGTCCTCTTACGCAGGTTGTCTGTATGTGATTTGATTTAAATTAGTCATCGAGTCATGCATTAATGATAACTTTTTATAATTATGACTATTAAGTATATATGCATTTATCGATTTTGTTATTCTTTTCTTCTGTTCATCAGGTGAAGATAGTATTCATGAAGGTACAGCAGCTGAAAATGCTCATGGTATTACTTGGCGAGACACACAATTCGGTTATGGAAGTCGGGTAAAAATTCTCTTAATATTCACATTTACAATACTTTTTATTCATTACACATCGATATCAATTTTCACTGGAGTAAAACAGATGAATATCCGTATAGTACTAGACATCATTATCACCACTATATAGATGTCTAGGTTTTGAAAGTTTTGAAGGTGATTGTTTCCGCCAGGTTGATGGTGTTGCTATGTGAAGTCTGGTAGGGCTATGAATAATAGAGTACATATAGCCAATAAAGGCAAATGAAAATAATATCAGAAACTGTATTGGGGTGCATGAGTAAGTTGAGGTGAAAGTCCATTAGTTAGCATAGTCAATTAAATGTGTATAGGGTGTTTGGTCAGAAAAATGTGATGAAGTGTGAATGAACAATTGGGTGATATAGTGTTGTTTTATAGTTAACAGAATACAAGTGTCCTTGGGGTGAGAAAAATGCGATAACCACAAAATACATGCAAAGGCACGTTAACAAAGGAGGCACTGGATGTGAGGGCTGACCGATAATGTCTAATGTTAAAATAAAGAGGCTAAATTGTAAATTGTAATAAAATGCTACAGAATTGGTAAGCTTAGTATAAAATCATAAAGGTTGACAAAAATAAGGGTAACAATGAGGTGAAATAAACTGGGTGGAGAAACGGATAATAACGACATGATATCACAAAATAGTAATAATGATAATAGTAGGACGAAAAAATTATGATCCTGGTGACCTTATAGTGGCCAGGGTAGACGAAAAGAGTGAAGTTTTTTCTGTACACAGGTCTGGTCTCTCTCTATTAATCTCTAAAGCCTCAGCTATGGCTAGGAGGCGTAATCGTGTGCCTTTGGGGAGATTGTTCGGTACTCGATACACAACTGTAAATGACTCATCTACTTTGATGCATCATGTCTTTATTATCCATTTCTCCACCCAGTTTATTTCACCTCATTGTTACCCTTATTTTTGTCAACCTTTATGATTTTATACTAAGCTTACCAATTCTGTAGCATTTTATTACAATTTACAATTTAGCCTCTTTATTTTAACATTAGACATTATCGGTCAGCCCTCACATCCAGTGCCTCCTTTGTTAACGTGCCTTTGCATGTATTTTGTGGTTATCGCATTTTTCTCACCCCAAGGACACTTGTATTCTGTTAACTATAAAACAACACTATATCACCCAATTGTTCATTCACACTTCATCACATTTTTCTGACCAAACACCCTATACACATTTAATTGACTATGCTAACTAATGGACTTTCACCTCAACTTACTCATGCACCCCAATACAGTTTCTGATATTATTTTCATTTGCCTTTATTGGCTATATGTACTCTACTCATGGATTTATAACTGTAGAGCCTGAAGAAGAAGTTATCGACAACAGTTGTTCGCTCAAAATCTTGTTTTGATTTCAATATGGGGTAATTATAATTAACGCAGAAATTTTTTGATCAATCAGGTACTGGTATACTTTGTCCTTGAAAATTCTACTACATAATGTGAGGTGTAAGAAGGGATGACTAATTGTAAGTTAGAAGGAGACAGAAGTTGGCATGTCTTAACAAGAGTGAGATAATAACTAATCAATAAGCTAGTGTAGAATGGACAGGAACTAGTGGAAAGGCTATAAAGTAGTTTTGTATAAGATCTGTGTGAAAAAGCAATGTTATTAATAAATAGTAATAGAGTGGTAATGAAATGTGAATGGTGGGAATAGTAATAATAATAAAAGTATTAAGAACAGTAGTAATAATAATATTAATAAAAATAATAATAGTGAACTTACATATTAAAGCGAGGAGCAAAATTATAGTAAGAAATTTACTCTGACCATGGTAGGGCCAGAGAATGTATGTATCGTTTTTGTATGCACAAGTCCGATTTTAGGTCCCGAATAGCTAATACCTCAGCTATGTACAGATGTCGCATTCGGAGTCCTTTTGTACGATATTGAGGGACTCTGTGTACCACTGTGAAGCATTCATGTGGGGGTGCTCGGTGTCCGGAGATGACAAGGTGTTCGAGGATTGAGCTGTTGCTATTCTTCTTTTCTCCTCTGGCTAACCAAGCTGGGCAGTGTTCCAGGACACGTTTGTGGACTTGACGTTGCGTACGGCCGATATACTTTGTTCCACACGAGGAAGTAAACTGATAAATACACGTTGAAGTGGCCAAAAGCGGTATCTTTTCCTTAACGTTAGACTGGATTAACTGTCTGAAGGAGAATGTTATACGTAGAGTGGCTGTTGGGAATGTCTTCTTCAGACTTTTTGAAAGGCGGTTTCTGAGAATTTCCGCTGCGATATCACCTTTGAATTCTAGGTTCATGAAGAGAGTCTTCTTAGGAACCGTTGTGATATTTGAATCATGGTGGATACCCATTCTCTAGTAGGGTTTCACGCAATAGATTTAATTCTTTCTCTATCGAGCAGATTTTTCTAATCCTTACACCTCACATTAGGTAGTAGAATTTTCAAGGACAAAGTTTACCAGTATCTGATTGGCTAAAAAAATTTCTGTGTTAATTATAATTACGACTGTACAGCTCATGAAAATGAATCGTCGAAAAGAAAATTTTCTTCGCTGTTTGTGCCTTTTTCTTATTACTCAATATGGGAGGATATCTATATGTCGTACTTTGAGGGTTTATCGGAGGATCTAATCGAAAATGTGCCACTTAATAGAAGGTATGTAGATGACATTGTAATCATAAGTGATAAACTCCTTGTTCTGCCATCTCAATTTTAAGTCGAATAAATGAAGTTCAGAAAAGTTTATCACATTCGTCGGTAGAAGAGGAAGATAATGGTTTATCTTTCCTAGATATTTTGACAGCTTGATGGGTAAGTAAGACAATACATTTATAGAAATCCTACCTGGACAGGTTAGTATCTTAATTACCACAGTTTCTGCCCTGTTCGGTACAAAAGATCCTCAGTAAGGTGCCTCTTCAGTAGAATCCAACGAATATGCACTAAAGACAGACACACTTGATGAAGAAGAAAGAAAGTTGACACAGACTCTGGTTGATAACAATTATCCAGACAAGTTCATCGGGAGATATAAAGTAGTCAGAACACGAAGACCCACTCTCCAACTCGCCCCTAAGAAAGACGTGTACATCAAGCTACCCTGTATGGGGCACCATAGCAGCTTGATAACTAAACAAAGGTTGAACGCTGCTGTTAAAAAGACATTTTATGCAGCTAATATCGTAATAATTGAGAATGTGAAGCCAATATATCCATCTAAGTCCTTTGAACGTACGAAAAATGATGTCACATCCTACTGTATTTACAAATTTGAATGTACGTGTGGACACACATACATAGGGAGGACTCATCGATCTCTGCAAGTAAGAGCTTCAGAGCATATCCTTAAATGCCTCCAGAAGCAAATAGAATCTTCAGAACCCATTCATGGTGAGAAAAGGAGACCTAGCTCCTCTATTGCGAAACATTTTATGGAGACAGGACATAAAATTGACCTTTATGCATCTTTTAAACCTATCTATAAAATGTGTTAGGTGTGTATCCCAAAGTTTGTGGAAGCCCTATCAATTATAAAGTTTAAGCCATCTTTATGCGTTCAAAAACAAATAGTCATCACATCTGTTATTTGGTGTAGTGATCTTCATTGTTATTTTGACCTTCAACATGTCCTTTTAACTTGACCTAAATTTATTTTCTCACTTAAGTCTGTTGATTTCATGTATATTCCTACGACAAGTCCGTGTGTGATCAGATTGTTCGAAATGTGTTGCGCAAATACACTCCACGATTTAGACAAATTACATCTCATTGCTTTGTCTAAATTAAAATCATTATTTCTGAACTTCAACTATTACAAATATTATTTTAATTGAATCACATGCATACATTAGCATGTGTAGAGAAGCTAATTGTTTCTCATACCCTTATAAATATTCCTTGTTTAATAGCCAATTAGTTCGAAGCATTTTAACATACGTTTACAACCTTCTTATGGGAGGTGTAATCTATAGAGTTATGAAAGGAGAATGACGATTAAAAATCCTCATCCATCGAAGTAAAGGAGAAAATTACTGTGCGCAATGTGATATCCACTTGCGAAAACAAGCATTTACAGAGGATTTAAGTTTTCATTAGGATTGTTATTAACTTCAATGTAGATTTCGTCACGAACAAACGCCATTTTGGATGCAATGGACAACTGTTGTGACCTAAACCACGTAGGAAGGTGTAAACTTCCTGGTTAGGGTCCTCGGGATGGTAAAAACCAATGGTTGGAAACAATTGGTGACAGGGCTCAAAATCGTTCTCAGTGGCGCAGATGCATCCACTCCTTGTGACTTATGATTTCCAATGAAACTGTTTCGTTCTTCGTTATTACTCTTCATTTGTCTCACACCTCTGCTTACTGTCTCTATTATGCTTTTCTTGTACTTTCTTCTCTTGCTTTGTGTGCTGCATGGAGTGTGGCGACTTGAACTACCGCATATATGTGCAAAGTTCTATGTCGAAAACAGACAGACAGGCAGACCTCATTTGGGACTTTTCAGCAATCGAACACTCACAACTACACCAGGAATATAACTCAGGACCGGGAAATAGTGCCATATCACGAATCGACAGAAGTTAGTAGCTAAAAGATGAACGAACTTGGCCACATAATTTGAAGGTCCTAGATTCAATACTTGGAGGGGTCGTAGGCTGTTCCAGAAGAGTCCCAAACTAAGAGCAGAAAACTGTCAATACTCTTTTTGCTTCTTAACGGTTTCTAGATGGCGTGAAGTTCGTGGCGATAGCTACGTTGAAACAGAATCAGTAAAGAGGTTAGCTAGTAGAGGTCACTACTGATCTATGATATCTGACTTTCATTCTCAGTTGTCTAGTTGTCTTCCTGATATGTATCCATATAATATGTGTGTTTTGTTTGACAGTCTGACCTTGGTGATATGTATCCATATAATATGTGTGTTTTATTTGACAGTCTGCTCTTGGTGATATGTATCCATATAATATGTGTGTTTTATTTGACAGTCTGCTCTTGGTGATATGTATCCATATAATATGTGTGTCTGTTTGACAGTCTGTTATATTTGCTACGTATGTATGGATCGATATTCCATTATAATTAGCCAATCATGTTAAGACTGTCTATTAATTTGTTCATTTTGAATATTCGCTCACACACTTATTCGGACATTCATATTTTTGCTCTCACACTCTTGTGTAACATTTTGATTCTCCTTGTGTTTGGAAAATAGAAGTATCATCGCAAACCTAGTGGTCTTCTGATTTCCGTCTTCCTTGCGTCAGGACTATTAAATTCTCGACCAGTACATAACACTTCCTAAGAAATTACTCGATGTATTCATCTTATCTGTTTATAAATAGCACACATTATACGTGTATATGTTTATGTTTAGTCGTCAACATGTTAATTCAAAGAGATAAGTGGATAAATGCATCAATAATTACATGAAAAGCTAGAGCTTATTCAACAAATGCTAACTGAATTTAACAGATGTATGCTTTCGATAAATAATCCTGTGCCTGTTTGCAATTATATCAGTGTGATAGTAGCTTAGATTTAAAGTTATTTACACTTATAGATGGTTCTAACTGAAAAGTTGACAACTTATTTGGACAGTTACAAAAATACGCCCACCATGAATTACCACAGCGGTTATTACTCTAGCCGACCATGCACGTGATCCGGAGTTCTATCTCTTGCTGACGCATACTTGATGTCAATGGTTGGCCTGCAAAATTTGGGCTACCGATATGACACGCTGAAAATTCCATACTTGTACCTAAAGTGCTGTGTGCCTTCAAGCTATAGTCAAAACAAATAAAAAAAGAATTAGTCATCACTGGTGTTTATCATCAACATTTTTCTTAAAGTGTGATGGATGAATCGAGAGATGCAAAAGTGCGCCGGAATACATCATTCAGAAATCTTGATGACAATCGAAAATGAATATGCATATCTGCATTTTTTTTATCCTTCACGTTCCCAGTGGAACATAGGGCCTCAAGCTAGTGGCTTGAAGTTTCTGTATCAGTGTTTGATTTTTACAGGATGGGGTTGCTAGCCTCATGCCCAACCTTTCCTCTTTACCAGCATTATTTCTGGCTTAGCGAGGTAAAGGAGTGCTTCGTCGGCCGGGGATCGAACCCCGAACCATGTGCATGGTCGGCGAGTGTCCTAACCGCTGTGCCACCGACGCACCATATCTGCATTATTGTAAATGATTTTGTGCCACGTCACAAAGAATCACCAAATTCCATTTCGACAACTTTGTTTTTGATTCCCTTGCATTGCACAAGTAGAATGAAGGGCTTTAAGCTTCCAAGTTTCAGTAGCTCTTGTGTTTGTAAGGAGTAAGATTGCCAGTTTTGCGTTCAACCACTTTTTCCCGAGTTTGTTACCTCCTAGGCGAGGTTCAAGAGTGTATCATTCGTAAATGGAACCTGGACTGCGCGCGTGGCTGTTGAGCCATCCTATTCTTGAACCACTGACTCACATTTTGGCAACTTATACGTCTCTAAATGCCTTGGAATAGTAGATAGAAACTTCTTGAATTCGTTTTGATATTTTAATCTTATTACATACCTAATCCAACGTCGTCTAACATACAGTAGCAAAAATTCTCGTGAATAATGGAGATGAATCATCTCTAGATGAAAGAAATTGAGTAACGACGATTAACGCTGGATAATCGATAGTATATAATGAAGTAGTATGTCGAAAACTTAAAGTGCTTAGGAAAGTCACTAAATTAAAAGTAAATATTTTTTAATGTTCCTAAAAAAGATTAAAGAAAGAGCTAGATTAAAAAAGTGAATTTGAAGTTTAGGTCAGTAGGGAAGAAGTTGTTCATACGATCGACATAGAAATAGAAAGCCTTCCCACAGCTTTCCTAAACAACAGATATCCTAGAAGATTTATCGACAGATACATCAAGAAAGAAACCATTCCCAGTCAAATCACAGTGCCAAAAAAGACACTGTTTATGAGTTTGCCGTTCAAAGGTGACAACATTGCTGAAGTAACTAAAAGTCGTCTATGTAAATGTATTAAACGGTGTTTTTATTCAGCCGACTTACATTTAGTGTTTCCCAGTCAAAATATGATTCGACAGTGCGTCAAGGATAAACTACCGATTATGTTTACCTTTATGTGCATATAATCATCTACATGTTCCTATAGAGCTGATTGTATTGGACGGTGTAAGAGTAATCTTCGTAAACGCATAGCTGAACACTACCCGGTTTGGTGAATGAGAGGTGAGCAAAGGGCGACAAATTCTTCAATTCGTGAACAGCTTCTGGAGTCAGTTTATTCAGCCCCACGTGATCTATCCTTTAAATTTATCTACAGGACCAAATCCAATCACTTTAAAAGCTTACGTTTTCTCCACTTATGCATAGCTGAAGCTCTAGCTATACTGGACAAAAGCCTAAATTATGTATTCAAAAGCGTTTTGTCAAACCACTTTCTTTACATTGGTCATAGTAATGTTTTTTTTTAATTTTATTCTATTTTACCATTTGAATTAATTCCACTACACCTTCGCCGTCTTTATTGTTATCATCATCGTACTCCTAATTTTTCAGACAACATTTGACCTACTGTTTTCAAAGTCTGAATACCAAATCACTTATTTAATAATCTTTAAAAGTTATGTAATTCATCCACTTCAATTCTACCCCCTTAGTACATAATTTTAATTATCTTTGTTCTTATCATATTTATATATTAATATAAATGCGACTGTACAGCTTGAAAATGAAGTCGTTGAAAAGAAATATTTCTTCGTTTAACAAAAACAAAGCAATAGGATATAATTCGTCTTAAGTAGGTAATGTGTTTTCTCGACACATTCCGTAAATCCTGATCACAAATACTTGTCATACATATTCATTTAAAATCCAACAGAGTATAAAGAATCAAATTTTTTTTCAACATAAGTCCAAATTGAATTTTTGATTTTCCCGTCGATTGATTTGACCGAAGTGCTCAGTCTCAGGTTGACATGTCGGTTTCTTGTGCAGATGCTTCGACGATGTCTGGGCATTTAGTTAGTATTTAATTGGTGGATGATGGTGACTAGCAGTGGAATCCAGGATGCACATTTCGTCCTATTTGGGACTCGTCCGCTGGATGTACCTGCATTTCTCAGTGAGTGATGATGTTCCCACCATCATCCACCAATTAAATACTAACTAAATGCCCAGACATCGTCGAAGCATCTGCACAAGAAGCCGACATGTCAACCTGAGACCGAGCACTTCGGTCAAATCAATCGACGGGAAAATCAAAAATTCAATTCAATAATTAATATATGACCCGTTGCACAAGAGGTGGCTCTCGTGGCCCAAGTGGTCTAGTGGATAACGCTTTGGCGTTTGAAACTATGGGCACTGGGTTCGAGCCTCGGTGGGAACATCATCACTCACTGAGAAATGCAGGTACATCCAGCTGACGAGTCCCAATTAGGACGAAATGCGCTTTATCCTGGATTCCACTGCTAGTCACCATCATCCACCGATAAGTCCAAATTATCTATTTTTAATTCAATTTTGTTTTTCCTGCTAATTGATTGAACCTAAATATTCATCCTCTGTTGACATATCAGCTTTTTGTGCGGATGCTTCGATGTCTGTTCTAGTGGATTAGAAATCGGTAACAACCCATTGCACAAAAGGTGACTCATGGCCCGAGTGTTTTAGTGGAAAATGCTTTAGCGTTTGAAACCATGGACACTGGGTTTGGGCCCTAGTGGGAATACCGTCACTCATTGGGGAATGCAGTTATATCCAACTGACGAGTCTGAAGTAGGAATAAGTATGCATCCTGGATTCCACTGCTAGTCACCATCCACGAAATTACTTCAATATCGGTCCAAATGTTAACTGGTCACTATCACAAATAAGACATAGGAAAATTAAGTAAGAAAAAAGAGGGGATGAAAATATTATCAAATGAAATAAACACTGGTTTTAAAGTATAATTATCTTTCAATAGTTTACACACAATGATAAGTTTTGTTTTTCGTAATATTTCGAGCAAAATTACTGGGATTATGGGTACTATAAATAAATTTTATGTTCTATCTGTATGATGTACTTTGCAATAGGTGACGTCCGACATCTGTGTTAGTGGTTAATTGAATCAGGCGATTTGTTCTTGCAGCCATTTAGAAATGTATTCCGTAGCCCTGTTCTATTGTTGTACGATTGTTGGAAGTGTGTTTACTTGCGACACTCTATTAAGTTAGAAAGTGATTAAAGGTTTATTGTCAGAATGAATCACTTTACAAAAATATCACCGAAGACAATTGAGTATTATCATACCTACAGTCAATCAACCATCACTTTTAATCAACTCGGTTATATCCGATATAAAGTGAGAGTTGATGGGATAGCTAATGTGCGGAGGAAATAACGAAGGTGCATTTCCTACTCCTTTGAGTAATTACGTCTATACAGCCAGCTTCTTATATGCGACACAGTTGGCTCCATACTACAATAAATACAACTTTTTCCTACTCCTTTTCTCAATCTAATCTAATAAGAAACTAGTGATTCTATTAAGTCATTCTCTTAATAGTAAATTACAGAATGAATGTACGCAGCATTGATATCGATTATATTATTGTATCCTTTTTCAAAATTAAGTGGTTCTGAGGAAGCATGTATGCGTTTGTGATCACACGCTTTCGTATATAAAATTTATCATTTTATTCATTTTAAATACAGGAAATTGGACTGTCCGAAATTAGAATAAGCCGAGATTATGCGGAGCTTGGTATGGCAGCTGCTTCAAGTTTGGCAGGATTTTCAGGACTGGTTGAATGGGACTTCACTCCAGATAATGTGCCCATCCCCAGACGACCGATAGCTTCAGGGTGAGTTAAAAATGGGGATTTTTCTCAAGTCCAGCTGTCTGCCTCAGACCATAGTTTACATTAGCTGCAAAACAATTCCACTTAAACCACTTGTGTATAGTTGCTATAATCCAGTGATGTGTTCTTATTTTTGATTGGTTCTTCGGTTTGCATGTTTAGATATGATTTTACTTAAGGTCATTTCAAGGTTTATGACAGCCTGGATGAAGGTACAACCAATCATCATTCAGTAGTTTGACTTCATATCCATTATATGGTAACGCCCACTACTAAAAATTTCATAAAAACTTTTAGTTTTCACCTATTTAGTACGTAAACATTTCAAAACACACAAGTGTACTACATCTATTAGATATTAAATTGGTCGCGAAAATGATTGTTCTAAGTCAGAATTTCCCTGAAATAAACCATGAACAATTCAGTAGAGAGCATACAGAAGGCAAAGATGAATTGTTTGTTTGCCCTTTAGTTCGTGAACGGTGAGTCAACTTCGACTGGTGTGTTATACTTTTTTCAAACTATTTATTTGTAATAAATCCTGAGATCTCAAGAGAAATATAATAAAAGGTGCATAGTGTAAAGCACTGCTGTCACCTAGTGTTTATGGATGGGAATTTTAATACAGTGACGTTGTAATCTCATGTTAGAAAGTATAGCATGATTTTTCATATTTTTATGTGTAGATTATCATAGTTTTATACTTTATCTAACATAAGTTTGTCTTCCAGTAATAGTATGAAGTGTTTGCTGTAGTACTTCAGTTAATACAATTACCTGTTTTTATCACTTCACTTCGATTTCATACCTTGGATTATGCCTTAGTGAAGAGTGTTATTATGAAACAATTACTGAGTGAAAATGGTTACCCGTTTATATATATATATCAAACTAATAGTTCAAAAGTGGTGAGTAAAGAGACCATAAGCCTAATAATTCCCAATAATAAAGTAGCAACAACATACAGGACAAATTTTATCCTGGTTACAATTTACGGGATATACAGATGATTTTAAATTATGTTAATCTTTCATCTCTTTGTGGTTGTTTCTTGAATGTCAGATCTATATGCTAACTGTATCCGCCTACGCAGTCTTTGTTCTCATTATATATATATATATATATATATATATATATATATATATATATATATATATATATATATATATATATATATATATATATATATATATATATATATATATATATATATATATATATATATATATCATTGTCCTGTATGTTGTTGCTACTTTGCTATTGGGAATTATTAGGCTTATGGTCTCTACTCACCACTTTTGAACTATTAGTTTGATATTCAGATATTTAAGTAAAAATCAGCAAGACTAAATTATATAGGCCTAAGTGAATAATCAGCTAGATTACTTTGAGTGACTCTGCAGAAATATTTTTAATATTAAATCACTCTATATTTTGTTGGTCTCTTGGGTCACCATACTTTAGTCTATCCTGAAAATTTCTACGTTCTCATATCCCTTGCATTGGATGTCAATACACAAGAATGCTAAGTTTTGATTTCCTATGGGTTATATGTATACACCCTATGATTTAGCCATACATAGATTCTGTGGTAATTTCAATATGTTATTGGTGAAGATCTGAGGTGAAACAAAAATCGCGGTATCTGCTTTACTAAACGTCCATTGCACCCACTGAGCTTCCAGACCTCTCTGCTTGTGAAGTCATAATTTTAATTAGATCGTGTGTGAATGAGTGGTATGCAACATCACATTATCTGCTCTTTTATCAATTCCAATCATACTGAATTTGAAGAGCAGGCTGCTAATTCTCAGTGAACCTATCTGACATTTTCAATTGGTTTTCTAGAATAAAATAACCTGTTTTGATTGCTATAATCATAGCTGTAGTATATATTGTCAGTATTGTGTTTGTTATATGCAGGTGTTTACAATTATATCTCAAGTTTTTAAAACTTGTTGACAGCGAATAACATTTTGTCATAAGTAACATTTATTTGACCCAAACTGCATTGTTTTTACTTCCTCTACTTCAGACCCTGTATGCGCTTTTATGAATTGTTTAAAAATTCGCTTGCTAGTTCAGTTGAACTATAGATGTAGGGATGAATAATCTAATATTCGTCGTATTGACTTCATTTTTTCATCTGTTTTGTGTGTGTGTGTGTGTGTTTATATGTTCCTATGTATTACTTTATTTCATTAGGTTGAAAATAACATCTTAAGCAAATTACTTTCACTTTTGATTTAATTATTTTAGAATTATTGATTTAATTTATACGAATGCATACTTTTCTCTTTTTATCCGAGAGACAAAGAGTTTATACTTAGATACGATGATAGACAGTTTGTTAATTGGGTGAATAGAGAGTCATATTAATTATTGACTGTTATTCATAGCGATACTTTCTCTCCTTGTTTATACCTGTGAAACTGCATTATTGTAGACCTGCGAAACATCTGAGTACTTAACCGTTATTCATAACATCGCTAGGTACAGTAACATCTCATCGTGGGGAAAAGAAATGATTAAGAGTTAAGTCGTAGGTGGTTTGGTTGATTCATCCGAAGGGGATGCAAGTTTCTTTCATCTCAGGTTCATGGTGCACCTATCATGCATGTATTAGCAACAGTGTGTTCTCTCAGGGTAAGATCAAACTGGGAAAAAATATATCTAGACCAAGATATAGTAAATATGCCGTAAAATTTTCGGTTTTTCTGGTTGTGGTCGTTCAGTAACGGGAATATGTTTGAAGACGATAAGTGTTGTGATTCAGAATCAATGACACTGGTACAGATGCATTTAGAACTATAGTTTCACCTTCCCTTCATTTATTTCGCCTTTTCTCCTCTTGTTTCACAGCTTTCTGTGGCCTTAAGTTGAGTGATTTCTATTTGTTTGTATTTAATTTTATTTCTTCACTTGATACGAAGGTGAGGTTTGTGGACCCACATCACCACCCAGTAATGCTAGGGTTTCTTTTCCGTCACCATCAGATGTTATATTAATATCAGTTCTTTGAACTAGGGCTATTCTCACTCTGAAAGTCCATTGACTTTCAGATAAGTTAAATCTTTACACAAGTATGTCATCCGTAGTCACATCGAAGTTGAGAGAAGTAACAATAATAATTCCATTATGGGTAAGATTTATTTGGATAAAGTGTTAAACAGTAATATTTACTGAAACTTTTTCCAAATAAATCTTACCCATAATGGAATTATTCTCTACCACAGTGAACAAGTTCTATTCTTATAACAATAATAATAATGATAAAAAATTGATGTGTGAATAAATGCCATTGAGAAACTGAAATAGAGATAATGTGGGATAACATTAAAATATACAATAATAACTGACAATATTAGACATTCTATCAGGCTATTCAAATAAACTATGTTTTAATTCTACTCCACTCGTACTGCATACATCGTCTGCTGTGAATCTGTTAATTAGGATGAAAAGAAAGTAAGCCTAGGTAGACAACTGTGTCTAAAATTCACTTCTAACGGGTGAAACTAAGTTCCAAAACCTTATTAACCAAATAAATCTGGACGGAAAGGCTGAAAAGCAGTTAACTAACACGCTTAAGCAACTAAGGAAAAGTGGAGTAATCTCAAAGGCAGCCAATAAGCGTCTTAAACCTACTGGAATTATTACTTCACGTCTGTACGATCTGCCCAAAGTACATAAACCAGGACTTCCTCTTCGCCCAGTCCTCGATATGTCAAACTCCACATACCATGGATTGGCAAAGTGGCTAGGTGAACTCCTCCAACCGTTACACAAGATGTTAGTAAATCATAGTGTTAAAGACGTTTTTGAATTTATTGCTAACGTCGATGATATCAATGTAAATGGGAAGCAAATGCTTTCCTTAGATGTAGGATCACTGTTTACCAATGTACCACTTATGGAGACTGGAATTCATATGCCGACAGATACTAGAAAAACAGATCGACATCGGAATTCCAGTTATTAGTCTGAAAGAGTTGCTTTTAAGATGTACTATGAATGTACACTTCACATTCAACAACCTTTACTACAGGCAAACCGATGGTATTGCCATGGGTTCTCCATTGGGGCCAATTTTGGCGGATTTCTTTCTTGCCAAGATTGAAAATGGTCCATTGAGACAAGTAATAGAGAAAACCTATTCTCATTTTTGTTATGTTGATGATACGTTTATTATTCTTGACGTGAAAGCTGACAAGAATGAAATGTTAAAAAAGTTTAATGATGCACATCCATCGCTCATCTTCACTTGTGAAGAACATGATGGTAGACTACATTTCCTTGGCGTCCAATCGAGCAGAAGAGGGAATGGTTCACTCAAGAGAGATGTCTATAGAAAACCTACATCCGTATGACAATATACACATTTCCCCAGTTTTGTACCAATCCGATACAAAATCAATTTGGCGAGATGCATCACGAATAGAGCAAGACGTATCGGTACAGATGAGCTAGGATACATCTAAAATGCGTTAGTCCAAATGGGTTATCCTAGTAGATTTGTAAGGAGACACATGAATACCAGGTACAATAAAGAAAAACTAACAACAGCTAAAAACAAACAACTGTTCATGAAACTGCAATTTAATGGGGACGTCTCTAGCGAAGTTTTACATCAGAGATTATCGAGAGCGATAAAACAGACTTATACTGCCGCCACCCTCTGTTTATCATTTTCCAGCCGACCAATTTTGATTGCTCAAGTGAAAGATAAGCTACCAGCTGTGCCTTTTCTATGTGTATGTATAAATTAAGTCTCTCCTGTGGAGAAAGCTATATAGGCCGAACAACTAGACAGCTTAACAAACGCATTAATGAGCATCTTCCTTCATGGTTTGGAAAAGGTCAAATAAAATCCATACGAAGTTCGATTTTGGCTCATTTGAATGATAGCGGTCACCAAGTGGACAAAAATATTGCCTTCAAAGTTATCTATCGCATTACATCGAGTCTTTCGAACGGAATCAGAACCAGTCTTTTACACTTAG